CGTGGAATTGACAAGTGAATTTCAAGAGATAACATGTTCACTGAAAGAATGTTTGAAAACAATAAATGTACATATCTTTTTGACAATGTTAAAATCTTCATAATCATAATTTGTTCCTTTTTTGTGCTCAACACAGATATTTGCACGAAGAAATAATTTACAATCATATTTAGACAACGTCTGATACCGGTCTTGTACAGTAGGCTAACCGGTAATTGATATTGTATTAAATGGCATTGGTTGAAAGATTTCAGTATTTTTATGCTACGTCATGTCTATTATATTATGTCCCTGCAAACCTCAAGTTCGTAATAATAATAAATCTTATTAATACATGTATCTATATTTATTTTCCATTCCTGATCAGAATGAAGCTTTACAAGTTCATTTTAAGAATGCTAGTAAGTTAAGGGACATAACCTGTCTTCTCTTTGCTCCATTTTTCATGTCTAAGAGTTGACAGAGTTGTGTTTCTGCACAAAGAACGATGATGGTGCCTAGAAATTGGCGTATTTTTCCGTTAAAAATAATTTGTTAGTTTTGAAAAATTTTCAATATTCTAAATAACCGAATTGGATTTAAATTTAAACATACCTTTACTGTACTCACAAATTTCACAAAGATATATGGGATTCAGTAAATATTCTACCAAGTTTTCTGCTTTACTCCTCACAAAAATATTAACGGCAGCGAAAGGAAAATTTCCTAAGTGAAAACTTGTGTTACAATATATTTGAATAGCGGTATTAATCAAATATGGACATGGAAAGACCTCTAAAGAACTTTTAGCAAATTGATAATGCACAACTTTTCCGAAATCAGCCAAATCAAAACTTAAAGACTTCACACTTGATACAACTATTCCACTTGATAACAGATAACTACTAGTACTTCTTCAATAACAAGTGGCGTTCGAACATTCACATCTTGTAATAAGTCACCGTGAAAATTATTTTGTTTAAAAAAAACTTTCTGATTCTTTGTTAAAGTGTTCTTAAGTAGAGAGATGTATTATTGATTGATTGATTGTTTGTTGTTCCGTTCGAGAATTTTCACTCATGTAGAGACGTCACCATATACCTGTGAAGGGCTTCAAATTTAGACCTTTACTCGGCAATCAGGGCCATTGAGCAGTGAGGGATCTTGATCGTGCCAACACCTGCCGTGACACGGGGCCTCGGTTTTTAAGGTCTCATCCGAAGGACCCGCAACTTTCACTTCAAAGTGCTGAGCGCTTGGCGAAGGAACAGTTGCTACCTATTTTTTATCGAATTAGGTCAGTCGCGGCCGTGACTCGAACACACGACCTTCCGATCACGGAGCGAGCGCTCTACCGGCTGAGCTACCGTGACGGCAAAAGAAGTATTAAAAAAGATGTTGAAATTTCTGATAAACGATACCTATGTGTAGTTTTTGGAGCCCAGGTCTTCCAATACTCTGTTGGAATTTCCATGGGTATTAACATGCCTCTTTGTATAGGCAGGCATATATTGCATTCTTATGAAGCAGAATTAATTCAAAGACATCTAAATGAAAGTCTCTTACTGTGACTTTCAATTCATCATTTAGATATATGGACATTTATCGATTCATTTTCATCCATACATTGATTTAAGATACCCCTATGACCTCGAAATAAAAGACAACATAGAGTCCGACAAAACTGTTTCATATTTGAATACATTACTAGACATTCATGACTTTAACAGTTAGATTCTATGATAAATGGGATTTCAACTTTTCTATCGTCAACTTCTCTTAATTACATAATTATGGAGATAACGAACGGTAATCAAGCTCAGAAATCCTTTGAAACGCTACAAATCGGTAGCAGAGTAAACACGGACCTCTAAAAACATCAGAGGTGGGATCAGGTGTCATGGAGGAGTAAGCATCCCATGTTGAACGGTCACGCCCGCTATGTGCTCATTGTCATGGTCGGACAAACGGAAAAAATCCGTAGACAATTCAGTGTGTAAATAATGGCATAATAATTAGTATGAAAAACTTCAGTCAGCATTCAACTTAATGATAGATTGTATTTGCTGACAAGGTCATTGTATCGACCATAGAACTTGCGAAATGTTGACTTTAAAAGAGACTGTTGACATTGTTTCATCAACTTTTTGTCAATAGATTGCCTCGTTTAAGAAATTGTTTGTACTTGGAACATGCTCTTGCGTATCGAATCAACTGGGAGGCATAAACATCATGTGCAGGTGATAAGGGTTTATTGCTACACAAGTAAGAGAAGATGACGATAGAAAAGTTTACGTCTTCACGTTTATCATAAAGTTTTTGTTGGATTTTCTAGCAAAATATCCAAATATGAAACAGATATATCAGACTCTGTGGTATCTTTTATTTCAAGTTCATTGTAATATATTGAGTCGACATATGAGTGGATGTAACTATTGTTAATTGATAATACGTCGTCGATATATCTAAATGTCGAGTTGAAGGCCACAGCAAGCGATTTCTTCTTTTCATGTTTTTGAATAAATTCTGCTTCATATGAATATAAAAATAGGTCTGCTAATAATGGGGCAATTGGTACCTATGAGGATTCCGACAGATTGTTGGAAGTCCTGATCTCCAAAAACTACATAGATATTGTCAAACAAAAACTCAAGCATCTTTTTAATATCTACTTCAGAAACGTGTGTGCAATCAGAATGTTTTTAACAAAAAAAAATTTGCAAATGACCAATGACAAGGTAAGTAAATTTACGAGTTCCACTCCTATTTAAAAAGCAGCTATAATGTCAAAAAGCCTCGACTTTAATTGATCGTGGGGAATAGTTGTATAAAATTTTGAAATGTTGTACGTTTTGATGTTATTGATTTAGGTAAAGCTTTGTGATTTCAAATTTTCTAAAAGTTCCTTGGAGTTTTTAGGTATCAACATCTGATTTACACCATTTCTCGAATATGTTGTTGCACAGTTTCTCCTTCATTGCTGTTTATATTTTCCTGAGAAGTAAAAAAAGAGACTTGGTAGAACATTTGCTGGAACCCTCTGTGTATATTTGTAAGGATTTTTATGAAGTTTAGGAATCAAGTTTAGGTACGGTAATTCAAATTCATTTAGATTGTTGGAATATTGAAATATTTAAAACTGACAGATAGTTTTGAAGAATTTCCTCCTTAGAAAGGGGGCTATGGGTATAAGTTGGATACTATTATTCCTTGCAAATTCTTTAATGTATCCCGATTGATTTCTGCGTAGGATGACAATTTAACGGAAAGTGTCAATAATCTCATTTATTGTCGACATTTCGAAAATAGTTTGGTTGTGACAATGACGGTGTTTGCAAATACTAAATGACATTGGGTCGAATATTGTTTACTTTTTTCAAACAGTGTTGGACAATTTTTTCATACTAATTTGCCTACAGATTACCCTGTTTACCTGAGCGATCGACAGGGAATACTCAATCCTTCATGGCATCTGATCACACTCTTGTGTTTCCAGGTGTCTGTGTTTGCCTTGCTGCCAAATTTTCATCATTTTATTGTATGTTGAGCTCTTCAAAATTTCATTTGTAGTTATTATTGTATATTCGTTTTTCTGTATTTTGCCTTTTCATTTTCTAATAATTTAATTCTGATTGTAACGCGCCATTTGATTGGATAAAAAATTTACTTTATATCGTATAAATTGGGTTGCCTATGTCGCAATTACTTGCGTCAAAAACGTATCGATCCGCCTGATGTTACATTTAAATTTTGTACAATTTGAAGTCATTTTTTAGGAGCAATCATCTTTTTTCTTACTCTAAATGAATGAAAATTAAATTATAAGGAATGAAATTAATAGCTACCCAATTTATACGGTATAAACTGGGTTGGAACAGTTTACGCTTTTTAATAAACCGCTTCGCGGTTTATAAAGCGTAAACTGCCCCAACCCACTTTATACCGTATAAATTGGGTAGCTATAAATTCATTCCTTAATTCAAAAGTTGAAAAATGTTACTTTAATACCTTATTGTTATTGTCTATGGTCGGTTGACATTTGATATATACACTGTACAATGTACATGTGTCTGCTCTATCAATTTTTTTTTCAATTGCTAACATTCTATCGATTGTCAGGCTTTAATGAACAATTCCATAATTTGCTGGTTATTGCTTAAATGCATTGATTAAGAAATATTCAAGAATGACATTTATAGTGTAATAAAATCTAAAAGCTTTAAGATTTGTCATGTACTTCCATAAAGGTTTCTATCCTCGTACCAAAAAAGTCAATTACTTGCTCATGGATCATATTTACATGGGCATGATTCACAAAAACTGAGATTTCTTCATTCTGACCTCTATGCCAGTCGTCCTTATATATAAGCATCGCCTTCTGACGTAATGACAACCAAATAACATATAGTTCAGAGGTCACACGAGATTTATTGCAATTATCTGGATTTTAACGTTTTTTCAAATGATTCAGTTGAAGTCACCGTGGGCCCCATTTCAGAAAATATTCAGTTAATGTGCAATGTTATGAACTAGTATATACATAAAATCAGATGCAAACAATAAGAAGCATATCCTTATAAGTGTTAAAATTTTGATATACATGTTGTTCCATCAAGTTGAATCAATTAAATGCTGTCATACGTTCCATGCTACATAACCAAAATTGATTCTATTTAGATATAACGGACAACCTTCAAACAATTGAATTGCCACAGTATATAATTAAAAATATGAAAATAAAATATAATACAATTAACTCAAAGCCTGTCAAAATGTACCATACATAAAGTGTAATACAGTTTTGTACCTATTCAAAATTATTAAAGTATTAAGATGTGAGGCAGAATGGGAAAATATGTCGGCATAAATCTGCACATTTAAGCAATGCACCATTAAGTTACAAACTTTATTAATTGCAACAATTCTTGTTTCTAAATGAACAAATCAGCATAAACGGCTAACTTTATTGGTAATGTTTTTTAATACAACTGAAAATAGCATTAAGAACGTTTTCACACAGTTATATTCTAAAAGTTACTTTACTCAGTCATAAAAATCTTCACCAATTTACATTTTGCCCATAGATTCATAAAACATTTTTGCTCTTGACCGAAGACTTTCAATACTGCTGTTAAAATGAGGGTCTGATCTAATACCATCCGTCTTGTAGAGACCGAGAGACAATGGAAGATCGTTACTGAAACTTGTGGATTTGCGAAACAAAGACGGAAAGGTATCGTCAGGTACACAGAATGGTAATCCAAAGCTGTGTGGCGGAGGGATCTCAAAGTGTCTCTGATTATTAAATATTTGAAATGGCGGTAATGCGGTTGGAGATTTCAATGTCATTGTCTCTTTTCCTGAAAAAAAAAAAATCAAGTTTATTTTAAGTAAAATAGCTTGGAACCCCTTTTTCTGACTCTACACCGAGAGAAATCTATATATACATGTATTTTCAAAAGTTCGTGCATTAAAGAAAACAAAACTTTTCCTGGTTCTTTTAAAGAAATGAATATTAAACTAAAATAGTTCAAATAATTTTAGTTTAAAGAAATCAATTTATGGAAAAGAAAATATTACCAGTTGGTTCCACAACATGTGATGACATCTTATGTGTCTTTGTTTCATCACTGCGATGATTGTTTTCCCTTTCATCATCTCCCTTGTTTCGTACTTCGGATTTTTGAATAATAGGCAAATCATCCGAACCATTACTGTTGCTTACTTTTGGTTCTTCATTTTTCAGTCCAGATTTAAGTTCTGAAAATCAACAAAAAGGATATTTTTATGCTAGTTAATTTTTGGACAAAGAAATCTTTAAAGTTTTGTTATTGATTAAGCTATGAGTCCCGATATTGAGAAGGAAAGTTATGATAGTAACATAATATAAATCCCCGTTTTCATTCTCTTATTTGCGTTTTCAAGTAGGTTGAGAAGCAAGAAGGAATTAGCATAATACATAATGCAAAATCACGAAATAACTATTTCAAAAGATGAAAAAATTAAGGAGTCCATTGAATTCTTTAGGAAGCATGAAAATTCTGGATTACCAATTTTCCCCGAATATTAGTATTTGTCTTGTATTTTTCGTTAAATATTTAAATTCAACAATGGTAATTTCAAACGTACTCTAAAACCACAAACAATTGTCAGTAATGAATAATCAACTATTGCATCTTTAAATATATATTCATTAGAAGAAAAATCATTCTGCAAATTTATTTGCAAAACATTGATAAAAAAATAGTAAAACTATCCGATAAATTTATGGAATTTTTAAAACACAGGTAAGAATTTTTTCTATATGTTTTGCTAACCTGTCTCTTTCTCACACGAATTATCTTCATCACTCACTACATCTATTATGACATCAGTCGTTTCATGATCTGAATTAGTACCAGTCTCAACAGAAGCACCTGCCTCTGGCTCACCGGCATCACCTGACTGATCACGTGACTCCGTTTCGACATCCTCTGATTGATTACTTGGCTCCGAAACAGATGTGGTTTTCTGCTTTTTCCTAAATTTAGCTCTTCTGTTCTTAAACCACACCTGAATGAAAAAACTTCAGTCTTGAACATTTAATTAATCATATTTTATTACTTGCAATGAGCAAGTGGCGATAAAACATTGACGTATGGTTTTATAAGAAAGGTAATGTATTGATTAAGCAGCTGTAAAATAATGGTAATAACCTGCAATAAAATTAATTAAAATAGATAATAAATCAAGATCTTTGACAAATCATTAATAAATGATATAATTGGGGAAACACGGTTGTACTGTTATCTCATTATTGTGTAATACTTATAGCAGATCAGTCATACGACTTTAGTAAATACAATTTTAAAGTCATTAATGATAGTAACATGAATGATACATGTTCTCTTTGGGTTATTACTAAGTATGTCTTCAAACAAAACCAAACAAATCTTTTTAGAACAAATTTCCGAATGTCAAACTCTAAAATAGTTTATTCACTCGAAATATCTTAAAACATTTTGATGTAAGAAAAAGTTATAAGAAAATACGATTTTAAGAAAGGTAGTAGTGACTGGGGGTAAATTCAAAGCATGTAGAGAACAACGACAAACAATGGCAAGTCAGCACAATGTTTGAACTAACAGACAGACTAGTTACTTGAATTCTGGCTTCTGGGAGATTTGTCATCATTGCGAGCCTCTCTCTCATAACGACGTCTGGATAATGTGTTTTAGCGAATGTCTTTTCTAATGTGGACAACTGTTGATTCGTGAATGCTGTTCGGCATCGCCGCTGTTTTCGTTGACAACCAAATCTTGCCTCAAAAAGCAAATCTGCTGTAACAAACAGAAACTCTGTCATGTGAAACAGAAATCAGCTACACCAGCAAAAGATATTCTGATAGGATAAACAGCAGTACATCAACCCACCTGCAAGTGTTGCAACAGTAGTAATTGGTAAGTTTCATCTGATGGTTTAAAGTTATTGAAAGATTCATTGTACTTTGTGTTATCAAATGAAATAATAGAAATACATCGTCAATTTTATATATGTCATTATATCTCTTAAATTAAATTTAATTTTAATATACTGGAACATTGGATAAATAAAGCATATTTAAATTGTTCTTTTCTAGGCGATGGGGGTTGGGGAGTTGTAGGGAAATTGGCAGTCCCAAGTAAAATTCTTTATCTTGTATCATTATCATATCATATATTCTATCTTATATCAAAATATAAAAACATTTTAAAATTAGTTCAACTAAACGATGTCATACGACAGTAATATGCGCACGTAATTTTTTTTTTAAATTGAATTAAATATAACGCGAATTCTGTTTTGGAATAGCTTTTGAGTAAAAAAAAAAGTTTTTTTTAGCCCGTTTGGTCTCCTCGATGAAAATTCTGAAACCCTTTTACACATCTACTGGACTTAACAATCATATTTCTAAAGATGATAAGGTTACAACGTAAATTTAAAATGAAAGAGTTTTGAAAATCAGGTTTTTGAAGAAAACTTAGTTTTTAGACCCCCCACTTGGCCTCAAAAGACGAGAATCAGAATTCCAAAACCTTATTACACATCTACAGGACACCTCCAATCATATTCCAAAGGATGATTTGCCTACTGCATAAATTGTAATAGTTCCAGGAACCAGGTTTTTTGTCGAATAACGTCGTTTTTCATTCCCCAATTGACCCCAATGATGAAAATGAAAACTCTGAAACCTTATTGCACATCCTCAAGATACCGCAAATCATATTTTAAAATTAAATTTCAATTAGCTACTGCTAAAAATGTAAGAAAAGTTTGAGAAAGAAGCGTTTGATAGACGGGCGGCTTAAAATAAGAACAATATACCAGAACTTTATTTAGAAAGTTCGGATATAAATGTGCATGTAATTATTCCTTAATCTTATTTCATTTTGGTTTTTGGACTTTTTTTTTATTTTTATTCTTTATTTTAATTTAAACTTACCAGCAAGTTTGTCAGCAAATGAAACAGATGATGGTAGTGCGTATGGTGTCCCATGGAAAGGAAAGAGTGCAGGGTGTGACTGAAGGGGGTAAGTTAAAGGATTGTGGAGGCTCATAAATGGTGGTCGTGGAGGGAAAACCATATGGCTGTTGTAAGGTTGCATTGCTTAAAAATCAGATATTACATAATATTAATCAACATTCTAAATATAAAAATACTTTTATTTACATCTGAATAGAATTTTCAAAATATTTTAAACATAAAAGATATAAATACATGTGTACTATTTGCTTTAAATCTGAAAATAGATTTTAGTTTTAAAAAATAATAAAATATTAAATATTAGTATTAGCACGCTTACTTTCTCTATAAATATCAAAAAATTATTATTAAAACTATTGACATATTTTTTAAAAACATTAAAAATACCGAAATCCAGAGAAATTCACCATAGAAATGTTATTCAAAGTGGCCTTTTTTCATATTAATTTAAAGCTTAAAACACAATTTAGTTTTCGATTCAAACGAGGGAAATAGAAGATAAATGTACGTGCTTGCCTACCTGTTCTGAGATTTAAGAGTGAAGAGACTGAACTAAGTTCATTTCACATTAAAGGTGTTGTCTTGAGTAGAACAAAATTTAAGTACCTTGCTAAACTAGGAGTAAATGAAATTGATATCAATTCTTTAGATATGATTAATTTAATCTTTGTGGAAAATAGAAGAAGAATAAATAAGAAAACTTGCAAGAGATGCATAATTAATTGATCTTAATTCAGGAAAAGCGTTCTAGAGAAGTGTTTAAACATATCAATTTCTTTTCATCAGTGTCTTCTCAATGAGAATTGAGAGAGTTTAATATGGGCCATCCCATTGTAATCAATCATTACCCCAACCAAACACTCTAAGACCGTATTTTGAGCTGCTAATCTGTTTGGAAAGGCGTTGATGTTGTGTGATCATTTCAGCTTTACGAATATGTCCGTACGAAATGTTTACTTGGAAGCCACTTCTTACAAGGACTGAATCGTGTTTAAGGATTTAATCTTTAAATGAAGTTTAAACACTGTTTTATACATACTTGTCGATGAACCCCTCAAAATAAACTGTTACGGGGGCGTGAAAAGGATATAGATGTTATTCTACACAAGACCATCTATCTTATTGCGAGAATGATAATTTCGTTTTTTTTATTTAATCCGTCCTGAAAACCAAATTACTTTTTACACATTGCTAAAAGTCTTGTTTTCAAAAACATTTTCCTTATGCCAAAACAAAGAAAGGAAAGGAAATTTGTTGTCATTGCGATTTACACACAAAGTAGCAAATCATACTTATAAAACAATTTATCCTGTTCTAACTTGTCAATTTTTTTGTAAGATCGACAATCAAACTTGATCTAGTCTATCTCTACATTAAGGCACCAAAAATAAATTGTTTAAAAAAAACGATTGGTTTTTATTTTGAAAGAGTTAAGAGATTAATATTTTATAGTGAATGAAATGTTTGAGTTGTGTACTCCCTCTCAGTGTTTTCTCCCTCTGTCTCAAAATAATTTTCATGATTCCACGCCATGTCAATTATATTACAGTTTTTGAATTATGAAACTAACGTAACATTTTATTTACAATGAATATTAGTTGTTACAATAAAAAGTTCATTATCGATTTCATTTTATTCAGTCCTAAGATTTTACATTCAATTGTGGAATAAAGGATGTAAAATGATTGTACATATATAATCATCCTAACTAAAAATGGAGTAAAGTTCCATTTGCCAGTAAAAGGCAAGGCTAGTGATTTCCATTTCAAATTCAAGGCTCTTGTCTATTTTGCTAATTAAAAATGTAATGACTTTTATTTGTTTTTTTATGTGTACATTTCTTTTTTCTTTTTCAGTATAAAATTTCAATTTAATCATATACATGTATTATTATGTAAAGACACTTTATATGTGATTGGACATCAGGCATTATGCCTATATAAGTCCTCTCTACGAGTATGTTTACCGGTACTTCATTTTATTGTCATGTTCTAAAACGAATTACATACTTTCAAACCCATATTTTAAAAGAAATTACTCATTTAATCAACTAGGAAAAGACACTCCCAGCCCCCAAAATCAACTAGGAGAACCTAAACCGAAGGTTTTTTTTTTAAATTTATGATTTTCATTAAAAATCTAAATTTCATTACAATGAATAAATTGTAAAAAAGTTACATATTAATATTTATTTAACATATTCATTTCATTGGTTTACACATGTAAGTCATTGATAATGCTCTATAACTGCATTACTTTTTTCTTTCTTTCAGTTCAGTTACCATAGATTTTATCGCAGAGAACCTCTTCAGATATTAAGACCATCATTGGTAAGTATAAATGTATTTTACCCAAAGATTGCATGAATTAATTTTTTCTTTAGATTTTATTTTTTAAAAATCATCATTTACACATCTTATTATCTGTATGCTTTAAGAAAGTGAGTAATTCATTTGAAAAGGAAAGACTCAAGAAAATTAGTTTTTTTCCTCTTATGAAAGTGGAGAAAAATAGAGATTAGTTAAAGATCTTGGGAGAAAGTGAAATGTTATAAACAATTTGAATTATATTCTTCGAGTTTTCTGTTCTAATGATTTTTTTCTCACTATGACACACGGAATAGTGAAATCTTAAGGGCTTTTTCATCTACTATATAAACTGCATTCATGAAATTTCGTCCACTGTATAAACTTATTCAATATTAATTCCAAACAACAAGTTTCACAAATTTCATTTGTTTTCTTTTTTCCCCTCTTTCCTTCTTTTTAAATTAATTTTTCATTCTTTACTATTCGGCAAAATTCAACATACGTAGTAAGTGATGAATAAAATACGACACATGATACTGAATCTACCCGATCATGACTAAGAACATCGGCGGGTGTATCCTGTCGTATACTGTCGACAGGGGATGCTTTACTCCTGGTACCTGATCCAATCTTTGATGTGTACTTTTCAGATGTCCGTGTTTGCTTTGCTCACAATTTGCATTGTTTCATTGGATTTTGAGCATCTTTACTGTTCATTATCTTCACATTTCAATGTTATGGGGTTTTGGGATCTCTGATAAAAAATTTGCCTTCAACTTTTTAAAAGCTGCGAAAGCCATGTTTAATACGGTGGAAATACTTCGACAGGCATTTCAAATGCATAAACATTTGTTAACTAATTAATTCAAATTCTTTTTCATTATACAACCTCATCAAATGCAAATAATGCTCCAATTTATCAACAGTATCATCTAATTACATATACAAGTATAGACAAAAAAGTTTAGAACTTATGTATTTCCTTAATAGTCATGTACTCATTAACAATTTTAAAAATTGTAAATTAGTGAAATGAAATATGTTGAGGTAACGAATAGTATTCGAGCTCAAAAGTCCATTAAACGTTACAAAATAGGAGCAGAGCAAACACGGACCTCTAAAACATCAGAGGTGGGATCAGGTGCCACGGAGGAGTGAGCATCACCTGCCGACCGGTTACACCCGCCGTGTGCTCCTTGTCATGATCGGAAAATAATGGAAAAATCCGTCGACAAATCAGTGTATAAATAATGACCTAACAATTAGTATGAAAAAAGTCAGCATTTGACTTAATGAAAGAATGTATTTGCTGACAAGGTCATTGTATCGACCATAGAACTTACGAAATGATGACTTTAATCGAGACTGCTGATATTCTTGTCTCATCAACTTGTTTGTCAATAATTTACCTCGTTTTAGAAATTGTTCATACGTAGAGCATGCTCTTGTGTACAGAATCAACTGTTGTAATGAATAATGTTTTTATATTATAACAAGTTTCATTTCCTTAGATATTTTAGATATTTCTCTAAATGACCGTAATAAAAAACATATACAAACTCACCGTAACGAGTTATACATATGTGATTTCTTTTAAAATTCTTTTGAACTAAATTCTAAGTTCACACCTTTATGATTTACAACCGAATAATAAAGCACTACCATAAACTAATATGAAGAAATAGATCCTAAGTAGATTGACAATTTATTGTGTGTTTGAATGAAATAAATAATTGGTTGGAATGTAAATATAAGCAATGTATTTCAGCTTCAAACAATCTTATACTTTTCACTCATTCATATTTTCATGAAGCGCTGAGGCAATTCAAGAAGGATCCTTGTTGAAATGAAGCAAGTCAATCAGCAAGAATCGAAGAAAATTTTTATTTTACTTTCTAAGCATTTGTAATTTGACAGCATGATAATATTCTAAAATTATTAGAAGTTTTTATTATATTTGCAAGATCAAACATTGGACTTAAGACATTTTGATTCAGAGCTTTAAAAAAAGTTTTAAAGTTATATATGTGCTTTTTTAATGAGCAAAAGTTTGGAAAAAAAATTTCTTAAAGTTAGTATCATTAAAGAATATTATGAACATTATGAGTTACATTTTCTCCACTTAATTTTTTTCTGCACTTGAAATGCTTTCTTTTCGTAAACACGTGTATGAATTGATACGTCTTTTCTTTAGAGTAAACAATATAAAAGTTTATCATTACAAATACACATCTACTGTATGCAAGGTCAATTATTCGATGGTTTACATTCATACATGTAGGTATGTATTTAGCTATTGCATTTAGTAAATTCAAAATCTCTGTGACAAATATCGATTTTTTATGTAACGTACTTTTAAAAATGAAGAAACTGGGAAATAATTTTACAAGGAATGTTTCTAAAAATAAAAAAAAATTAAAAAGAATAACTTTAATAAAATACAGATAAAAACATTTATAATTACGAATTATTAAATATATTACAATTCATATTTTTTTTCATGAAAGAGAGGGGGGATGAGATTTTTTTTCTTTTAAAAAAATATTTTTATAACAATTGAATTCATATGGTATATTTTTCTATACAAAACTTCATTTATAAATATTTTTTTTTCTAGAAAAAATAAAGATCAAGCAAAGAACCACATTATACTCAATATGAGATACATAAATTGAAAGAATTAAGAACTATCTTAGTGAATCCTCTATCATGTTAACCTTACCTGCAAATGGGGAGAGAAAATCATTTAATGAGGGATGTAAGACTTTATATGTTCGTGTGTGACACCGGGTCATACCCCTCAATAAAAAATAACGATCTTAACTTCATCAAATTTTGTGTTTATGTTTCTGTTTAATCATCTCGAGTAGCCATGTCTCAAGAGGAATACGTTAAGATGACAAAACGACAGATTCGTGGTGATTCGGAATGGTAGCGTGTCGTCTCAACGACCGCCCAGTATCAATCGCGCTTTTCCTGTAACTTTTTTCTGCCTAAACCAAGCCCGTGGAAACTGCTCGCAGACGATAGACTTAGTTAGTGAAAGTGGAATTTTTCTGCTCTCATGATGGGGACTAACCTCGACTTGAAGCGTTATAAGAGAGGGATTAATATAGTGTGACAAGTTTGTTCTTCGTCCATTAAATACTCAACTCGCGATAAGTATATTAATATGACAAAATATTTGTCCAAAATACGCCTGGATTAGGCAAGTAAATATCATTTATTCCTAAGATGGGATACGGTGCAGCGGGGTCAATTCAGCAGTCAGAGGGGTTATGCTTTAATGCACCACAAGTAGGGGACTCAGTCAAACACAGCGCACAATGATAGCGCTTGATGGAGAGGTTGTGACGTTTGCAGGCAGATCTAGACCTAAGTATGCCTGAATCCACATAACACTGTTTAGACTTCCACCATCTGAAAAGGTTTCAAAGTTTGATTTTTTGTGTTTCTCTTTTGGTCATATCCGAGTCTCTGTCTAATGCGGCTTGTTATGTTATTCAATGGCTTTTCCTTGAGATTTGGTATAAGCTATTTACGTTCTATTGATTTTTTAAATAGAAAATTTATTGATTTTGATGTTATTGATCCTATATAATTCCCAGAAGATGAACATGACATAAAACATTACTGGAATGTATTCATTGGTTTAATATCACATTGAGTGACTTTTTTTTAAATTCAAGGAAGTTTTAAGTTTGACAGTGTTTTATGTTTTATACCACAGTATTCACAGCATTTGAAAATAGAATTTCAAAATTAAACAACAATAATAAACAGAAAAATCAACAAAAATAAAGAAAACAGCAAACGGAAAAATTAACAGATTTTTTTTTTTATTGTAATTGATTGTTGGCCTGTTGATGTAAATTTTCTCGTAAAAGCATATCTTTTTTTGATAATTATATGTTAATCGCTTGTTCATAGAAGGTTTTGGTTTTAAGGTGGAGAAATAAATATTGATATTTTATTATTGCTAAAAACTTTCTTTCCCCTTTTTTTTTCTAAAAAAAAAAGAGATAATGATTCTGGAGTATAAGTCACAGAAAAGAATAAATTAAGAAAAAAATCGATAGCTATCATGAAGGTATCCTCTATCACAAACTTCTGTACTTGAAATTTTTCTCAGTATGTTTTTTACAATAATCGTAAACTATTTTTCCAAAAAGAGCCTAAAATAAATCTACTCCTAAGTTTAAAAAAATCTCAGTGTCAACATTCCAAAAATGCAGATATCTGAATATTTTTGCCGACTTTCCACCGGCAGAACCGGCTATCTGAAAGTTTTATCATTTTGAAGTGTTTGTCCAGTAAGTTACCTTCTTTTAATCCGAGTGATTGACTGTATCATTTAGCTAAAACCGTATATGTTAAACCTTAATCCAGTTGTTATGGAATCACATCTTAAGTGGTCCTTAAAATACAAACAAAACATATGGCCAAGAGTTCCAGTCACTGATAAAAATTAAACACTTTTAAGACCAACTACCCCCTGTTGTGAGTCTGCTAGACATGACAATCATATGACAGACAGACAAGCATTAACGTGCTGTAGTAAAAAAAAAGTTTAGATAATTCAGTAGTGTTAATTTTTTTTTGTTTTTAATTATGAAAATGCATGAATTTCAATGAATTTCCGAGGGTGCGAAATTTTAATAATGATAATATTTTGTATTCTTATGAAGAAGAACTTATTCTTAGACTTCTCTTGAAAAGAAGAAGTATCTTAGCTTTCAATTCGAAATTTTGATATATCAGCGACGTTTTATCAATTAAAAGTGTTCATTTTCATTCATACGTTAATTTGAAATAAAAGACACCACAGAGTCTGATTCATCTATTTCGTATTTGGATGTTTTAGTAAAGACATTGATGGCAACATAAAAATAACAATAAACGCGATGATTTTCACTTTTCTGTCCTCAACTTCCCTTATTCTTTTAGCATCATGTCATTATCACCTGCATATGGAGTTAATGTCTTCCAGTTGATTCGATACACGAGAGCATGTTTTACGTACAAAAATTCCTTAACCGAGACGGGGTACTGACAAATGAGATGAATTACAAAGGTATTGACAATCTCATTGAAAGTCAACATTTTGCAAATTCTGAGGTTGATAAAATCACGTCGTTTGCAAATACAGTCTGTCGTTAGAACGAATTTTAACTGACATAAGAAAAATTGTTCGGCCATTGTTTTAATACTGAATTGTTTACGGATAACTCGTTCAAGACAAAGGGCTCACGGCGGGTGTGACCGTTCGACAAAGGATGCTAACTCTTCCTTGGCACCTGATCCCACCTCGGATTTTTCCAAGAGTCAGTGTTTGCTATGCTTTCAGGTTGTATTGTTCAATTGAACTTTCGAAAATGATTAATTGTTGTTATCTTTAAATTTTGTAGGAGATATATTAAGATTTATTTAGTTTTTAGTATATTTAGTATTTAATTGCAAAAGTTTGTACGTTACACGACCCAACCAGTGTAACGTTATAATGACATCTACTCCACGACACCGTTTTCAAAAACGCACAACTTGATTAGGTTCATAGCTTTTTATTTCCATCCGATAACAGACCCCAAGACCATAAACTGGGCTCAAGTCAAAATTTAGATTTTTATATCTTGAGTTTTATTTAATGTATTTGCTTGAAATTTGCAATTTTATGTGACATTTAAATTCAAATATATGTTGAAAATTTTGTTTCATTATCAAAATTATTTCAAAAGTTCTATTGGTTTGAAATTTTGACTTAAGTCTGTTCTCAGTTTATGGTCTTGGGGCCAGGTCTTTTTCAGCTTCTCATAAGGAGCTCCATACATTGGGGGAATTCATATCTTATCTGTATATTTCTGGAAAATTTACTGATTCTTCACATTTATTTTGTTTCTTACGGCCCACACAGTACCGTAAGAATGTATGCTATCATTTTTTCAGGTGTGGAGTTTAAAATGAAATAGTGTCCTTGTTAAAAGATGTCTTATGTTGCTAAAGATTTCTGGACTATAAGTTCGTGAGTTTTAAGGCATTTCTCAAAGCTTTACATGATTTGACTATCAATAGGGTTTCAGATGAGAGAACGCACCATGCATCTTCATGTGAAGTTGTGTCCTGCAAATTAGGAATTGACCGTTGGCCAGTGGAAGTATTACAATCTGACAAGGTAAAACCCTCGGTTAAGAGTTTTAAAAAGGATAAAGTGTGAGAAGAATTGGACATTAAGCCGTATGGCTATATTGTTTCTACATGATTAGTTTCTATCTGATCGTTTTAGTTTGATCTGATCATTTTAGTTTTGACTGTTGACAAGTTTTGAGTTCGAGGATTCATCCATAGTTGTACATGATTGTATAAATAAATGGGTTACCTGTTTCAAAGCATTTCAATATCAACTAATGATCAGCATAAAAAGTTGATGTTCACAAATTTAAATTGAGCAGAAAATACATTGGGGTATACGACTGATCCATTATCTTAAGAGAAGAGTCAAACTTTTTGTGACAAATATAAGATTTGGTTCTCCAATTTTTGGTTGTTCATATCTCAATCATTTATCAAAGTTAAAGAAAAAGTTGATGAAAATAGAATATGATAAATATGTACTGGGAAAGACACATATCTATGTACAAAATTTAATACCTGTTCTCATAAAAATATCTCATATATACACACACAATTTCAGAAACTAATCTATATGTACTTCAAAAATATAATAGGAATCAGTTTAATATAAATGTTACTTTTATTTAAATAATGGGAGGTGGATGAATACCTCTCGTTGATGGTGTATACAAATGTCGATTATTCTAAACAATTTTAAACATCAATATTCTAAATATTACTAAATAGCCATATCAAAGAATATTTATCAATATTTACATTTGCAAATGTTTTCTTTTATATAACACTATTAAAAGCAACGCGTATCTATATCCGTATAAACACGGGTTCCTCGCGTCATAAACGTTCGACGTAATTTCTCAGTGACGTCATAAAGGGTCGACGCGCAATCAGTGGATCAAACACGTGCCGTTGGGTTTGAAAAATAAAACGTTTCAAGCGTTAAAGATTATAATCAGGCAAATATAAAATATGAATAAGTCACAAATGTAAATATAAGTAATAATGTATCATTTTTAAACATCTATCGGGATATAAATACGGGTTGGTACGAGATCAAATTTACCATAAAGCCCTTTGGGCTTTATGGAATTTGATCTCGTGACCAACCCGTATTTATATCCCGATATATGTTTAAAAATGATACATTATTTCTTAAATAGAAACAAAAACCATAATGTTTCAACAACCCATAGTTTGATTGCTTGCACCTAAATTCTGACACAACCAATCCGTGATTTTCTTTTCATTATTCTTCTTCCATTGTATGTTAGCCTTTATGGACTCTATGGCGTTTTGTCGACCTCTGGCACCCGCCCCAGCATCCGGGTATTTTGTGAAAAAGGCTTCAACCTTGAATTTAAAAAAAAATAACATTAAATAAAATGAGGGAAAAGTATGAAATAAATACCTACTGATTTAATGTACACACATGGGGTTTATTTTCATGGTAGAGACATAAATTCCCTTGTTTATTAAATTGATTTAACTACTTCCTTGCAACCATAATACATATGATGATTTTACTTCTTATAAACTACACCTTAGTGTAGAAAGTATTTTTTAAAAATGTTTTATTTCATATCGTTCTCTACTTACTTGCTGAAGCTCAAATTCTGTGTTAAAGTTAGATATAACCCTTGGTACAAGTCTTCCTAAAGACCTTGAATATGTTGTAAATCTGACGAAAAAAGAATCAGACTTAATAACAGGTATGTAGATAGCATGAAATACAATATTTTCCTAGAATTGGAAGAAATGCTTATGTTTCTTTTAAACATTGGAATTTTTTTTTTTTTAGAAAACATGTTTTAATTACTATCAAAATATGTATATTCACTTACACCTTTATTAAGAGCTTTGAAAGAATTTAAAAAAAAGAAGAATTTTTCAGACAGGTTTAATAATAGCAAATTATGGTATTAGGTCATTATTGTTACATGTACAACGAACACTGAATATAAAAAATATAATTTGTTGTCTCTCTTTGTACATTTCATAACAACTTGTCTGCTAAGAGAATTCCACAAACCAAAAAATGATTTTATCTATAAATGACATTATAATTTATTAATTTTCGTTCGTGTTGTATATGTCTGTTTAGTACCTGTCTACTAAATACTCCCAGTTAGAGCGAACCCAATCCCAAACCAATTTATTTCCAACTGGATTCTGAGCAATATATTGAACAACAGTAAAGAAATCCTGTGATCGAACCATGTCCTCCCTCTTCGTATATTCAAGGTATCTGACAAAAAGTAAAGTAATGACAAAAACAACAGAGCATTATTTCCAACTTTCAAGCAATGTCATTATTTGAATTATTCAATTGCAAATATTCATGAAATTTCCCCCCTCAAGTTTCAAAATTTAACGAAAATGTGTGGTTGAAGAGGAATTGATTTAAAAAAAAAAAAGGGAAGTCATAATATTGCACTGAAGAATAGTACCTGACCAGTAACCAGACTGTGGGGGTTTTAGACATCCCATACAGTAGTTTTATCTGTTCCTGGGGGACAGTTTCCGTTTTGTATTTGTTCCACATTTTATCCCAGTCTTCTGGAGAACCTCCATTTTGCATTCCATATTTATACACAATGGACCGAATATTCGGGGTAACGCTAAAAGTATTTGGTAACACAACATTTTGTATTAAGTTTGCATTCTACATCAAGCTACACAAAAAGTTATCATGTATGATACATACAAATTCAAAATCTAAAGAATATTTCTATCTTGTGTTATAATGACGTACTAATCTGCTTTGATCTCTATCAGTTAAAATTTTATAATCATTCGTGGATACAACCAATTTATGATATGCAACTCTCATTTTAAATTCCAAAATAAATAAAATATGTACCTTTCTCCTTGATCAAGCCATTTTCTGAATTTATTTGTTGCATTGTTCAGACAGTCTTTATCTCCCATTCCGCATGTCAAAGATATAAGGTTTACACGCATCAGTCTAGATAAATCAACCGAAAACAAAATCATGACATGATGATTGTAAACAAGATCTTATTTCTTATTCTTACTGAATTTGATGGGGGGGGGGGGGGGGAATGATTCACATATCTTGATACATGTGCAGTTTTTAAGGTTCAATATCTCTCTGTTCACTCATTTTAATTTTTGCATAAAAGGTAATGGATTTACAAAAGATATCTTATTATTGAATTGAGAATAATTTCAGCATAACTTGTGTAGCAAAATTTGATAGAATTTGCCTTTTAAAATTAGTTTTAAAAGATTTAATATTAATATCAGTGAGTTATCTCTCTTATCAATGAACGTTAAACCATGTTACTTCTGTAAATGGTTCCCGGTATCATCCCATCCAATCTGTGTTAAAACCGGTCTTGACTTCTTGAGAATGAAATCCTATTGAATTAGAAAATTAATTCAGTTAGAAATGCTTGAAAGTTATGTTTAAAGCAGATTTAAACAAATACTAGTACTATACTTACATGTACATGTATAATGAGTTTATGAAAGTCTTCTTTAGAAAATTGTACATAATTTTAGTAAAACTATTTTCTATATTTCAATTGAGTCATCAGTCTCATACTATTAATATTTTTATCATTTGCCCATTTATTTATTTATTTTGTAGAGGTAACTCTCCTATATCCACAGTTAGCAAGTAATCTGAGAGTATCAGTTCACAGCAATTCGAAATATTCATGGTATGACATACCCTGAATAAGGAAAAGGAAGCCCCTGTTTGCAGCATTTCTGTGATATAACTTATGCCACTGTAGGCACTTTCCCAGGGTAGATGATTTAACTCTGTGTCCAAGAATTTAATCAGATTTAGTGGAGTACTGTACTCTATATACCCAGCACGGGCTAAGTTAAAAGCGTCATCTATGAGGCCGGCTTTATCCACGTTACTAAATTTCTGAAAATATTCAAAGACATCAATTAGTCATAGGTGTTAAGCGCTTACCATAAGCAAAAGCACTCTATAATCTCTTTAAGTTATTTAAAATGAATAAAATATGTAAGCATACCGAATTATCAGTCTGCAATTGACTTGAAAATCTAGACCACATATTTTCAGGATAATTCACACGATAAAAGCCTTTCTGTAGTCTGTTAAACTTTATCCATCCCGATGAGTCGAATGTAGCAGCAACATCAAACGTTACTGAAATTTATGTTACATAGTACAATTTTACTTATCGAAGTGATAAAAGTTATGTTTCCAAGAAAATTAAATATATTCAAATTTACCCTGGTCTTGTGTTCTGTTTATCCAAAAATGACCACTTCCCCCACCACTGAGCATGTAATCTAAATATACATACCATTTGTATCTACAAAATATTGAAAGCAATATTTCTTTAAATCTCCAGTTTGCAATATTGTTCTACTGAAAAATCCTAACAATTAATATGAAAAATACATCAAACATTTTTGCCTTTTCTCTCCTTCTCTTCATTTGATTGATTGTATTCTGTATTACGTCCCGTTCGAATTTTTTCACTCATATAGAGACGTCACCTTATACCGGTGAATGGCTCAAATTTAGACCTTTACTCGGCACTCAGGGCCATTGAGTAGTGAGGGATCTTTATCGTGCCAACGCCTGTCGTGACACGGGGCCTCGGTTTTTAAGGTTTTATCCGAAGGACCCACAACATTCACTTCAAAATGCCGAACGCTTGGCGAAGGAACAGTTGCTACCTACTTTTTTGTCGACATAGGTCAGTCGCGGTCCGGGCTCGAACCCACGACCTTCCGATCACGAAGCGAGCGCTCTACCGAATGAGCTATCGTGACGGTTTTTCTTCAATTGAATGAAGGAAGGTCTTACACATGAGTGGTTGTCAAAAAGGCAACCATTTAGTATCCACAGGTCAGGTAAATATATTATAAGGAGGTATGAAAGCCATTTACTTTATACAGGTATAAGTACTGTGGTGTTGTAGAGTAGGATTTCCGCCATGACCAGCTTTTCTCCCGGAGTAGGAATTCCCCCCGAGGAGAAATCTCACACCAGAGCCAATTTTCCCCCTCTTTTATCAATGCTTTAATCATATCCGATATGATATCGACAATATTTTGGCTAAAAGTTTATATAAAAGTCAACTGATTTTTAATGGAAATATGAGTGTTCTCGACTCATGATTTGTCAAATTTAATATAAAAACTTAAAATATTTAGTTCAAACAATTGAGTCTCAACCCAACATTTTAACTCATAGATAAATCTGAAATTAGTCACTCAAAAAATCGCAAGACTCGATGTCTCAACACCCTCTCTCGGCGCGGCGGTATTTTTTTTTTCATGAATTTTAAACTGTGTATCTGGCCACCTTTAATAATTTGATAATTTGTTTGCCCTCTACATACCCAGTATATTATATTGTATCTATGGATCGATCCTTTTTGCAAAGAGTGTGAGCAAATTCTAAAAAAAATTATGTTATTGTTAGGTTCCACAAACTATTATGTGAGTATTTGAATCGAGTACTTCTTCAAAGGGAAAAAAAGTAAAAAAGTTAAAATCAAAAACAAAAGATTCTGCTTTCACAAGCATGAGCATTAGTATGTCCCCTCGATCCCACCGGTATCATATTGGATTTGAAATCAGAGAGCAAATATTCTCTTTAAAGTTGTGCAAAATTTCATTTTTTTTTTTTTTTTTTTTTTTTTTAGAAATAAACGACCAGTTTTTAGTTCCAGAAAATTGGAGACACCTATATATCAATATTTTGTACATGTTGTTTGGAATACAATTTAAGAAAAAAAATCCAACTATAATTAAATTCTTTTTTCTTTCCATGGATACAGTTAATTTGTTCAAATGATTCATTGTACCAATTTTATAGAAACCAGTTTGACCAGATGCAAAGAATAAGAGTTTAATGCTTAAAAAAAATGGTTGGACAGTTACTGAGGAAAATGAGATTTTCAGTGGAACTGGTCGTAATTTTGAAGAAGGGACACTTGTATCTTGTCACCCTTCCCCCTCAAACACAAGTTATGGTATTTTACTGGAGGTTTTGGCTCTGGGGAAAATTGCACTCTGTAACTATTACACAGGGTAGGATTTCCACCCCTAAAATTGACTCTGGTGTGGGATTTCCTAAGGGGAAATCTTACTATAGAGTCATTTTTCCATGGTGAAAATCCTACTCTAGAGCCTTTTTCAAGGAGAAATCTTACTCTAGAGCCAGTTTTCCGGGGGAAAAGAATTTAGAGGGGAAAGCCTACTCTACAAGACCAGTATTAAGTTAAAGGAAATGTTTTTATATGCATTTTTTTTTTTGGAAAATCAGTTTAACAACACAGAGCAGATCACTCCCAGGAAAATAGGTATCATCTTCACATTACTAAATTTAAATCCCTTTAAATTTTGAGAAGAAAAACAAGAGGAGGAGGATACTTTCATCAAATATTAAGGATTCAAATTGTCTAAATAGTGCCAGCATACATATCATTACTGATGTTTATCTACATATATTACATTTATAAGCAAACAGTAGTATTATTAAATTGTGCAGTCTTAGTAATATCATTACCCAAATGGTGATTCACTGGGATTAAAAACTGTGGACTTGTCCGCCAGAAATCGAGACTGTGTTGCTGATACAATAGTCTTACTGCCTTGTGTTTGCATAGTAACGTTGATGTAAGGGAATCCCATTTGTCGAGTCCAGGTATCCATCATATCTTTCACTCCAAATCCTCCAGTATTAACCTGATAATGTTTATGTTTTGCATGCAGTCCGCTTAATCAAGAGATTAACAATTTCTACAAACATGGTGTTTTTTACAATCAAATGTCTTACTTTGAATTTTATGGATGTACATTGCCGAGTTGTTTTTATAATATACATTTTGCACGCTTGATTGTTAGAGATGACATAATTTCATTATGCTAGAAGTAGTAGAGGTACCAATTATCTTGAGTATTTTTCCTTAAACAAATGTTACTTACCTTATTCAGTTCGTTCCATAAATCATCTGTTTTTGCATTTCCCCATTTGAAAGCCTTCAGGTAATTCTATTAAAAAGTTAATTGAGAGTTACTTAAATCAATGATTAATTTTCTTAAGATTTATTGATTTGGTACTTAAACATCTGATGTAAGAATATATTTCTAATGATTATTACTACACAGTTATTATTATTAGTCAGTATATAATGTATAACAATTCAGTTCCTTCAGAAATTTTGCATGATAGATTCTGCCTTGTTTTCTACTTATTTAATGTTTTTTTTTTGTTTTATTCAAATGAAGAACAAAAAATTATCTTAAATGCTATTATCTAGGGTTCACAAAGTAAAATTTATTACTTAAACCATAGAGTCGTAACATAGTACTAAAATTATAATATTAAAAATTCCCTTTTGAAATACATCAAAAAAGAGGATTTCTAACTAGTTACCCCAACACCTAAGAAGAACTTGTCTTGTCCCATCACAGCCTCCAGCATCCCAATGATGGCCGATCCCTGTCAAAGTAAAAAAGAGTTAATAATGTTTTATTTTTAATCAACTAGATAGTAAAGATTTCTTAATTAAAATTCAGATTTTGCAAGAAGTAACTCTTTGCAGATATATCATTTTCAGAAAGTTTTTCTTTTCCATGTGACTTTAGTTGGACACCATGTTACCTTGCTGTAGGAGATACTATCAAACACTTCGTTAATTTGATTGGGATTGTTGACATTGACGACAATAGGGTGGGAGGAAGTGACGGAGTCGACCACCATCACCGGCTGGACATCCTCAGTCACAAACTGCTCCATCTGCAAGGTAAAAAGGAGTAGAATCAAATTATAACTCTATATTTATATAAAGCTCATATTATTTCAGCAATGCGGTATTGTGAATTCTTTAAAAAGATAGCAATTAGAAAAACGTTCTGCTGTGAATGTTGTTTGAATATTTATCATTGTTTTTAAGTATGAAATAGAAGGATAATAATCATTTATTATATTAAGGATAGTTTTTTAAGTTTTTTCTTAATAAGAAAGGTCTATAACATTCACCAAAGCATTACCATTTCCCATGTGGGTTCTGACACATTCGCACCTAGATATTCCATAAAACTGGCAAAGCCTTCATTTAACCACAGATCATCCCACCAATCCATCGTCACGATATTTCCAAACCACTGTGTTAAAGTAATAACACAGAATAAATAATTAGTTCACAGTGAATTATTTTAAATTTTATTATATGAAATATAATCGGAAACATAATTGGTTGCAATCATACGATTAAATCTATGTCTACAATCAAATCATTTGAAATTGTACACAAAGGATTGTGAAACTCTTTGATTTACCAGATATATATTTGTATATATAAATACTGTATAATTCGTTTTAAGTCATAGTACATACCTGGTGGGATATTTCATGGGCTACTACCACGGCCACTCTCTGTTTGTTGGCAGGGGATGCCTCTTGTGGGTCGTACAAAATGTTGGTCTCTCTGTATGTTATCAAACCCCAATGCTCCATGGCACCAGATACAAAATCAGGGATTGCTATCATATCTGATAAACAACAGTGTATTTAGAAAAAAGGGAAAATCAAAATAACAGTGTTGTAGACAAATATTAGACAAACTTCAATGTTCCATGGCGCCAGATATAAAATCATGTCTATGAAACAACTGTGTATTTAGGAGAAAAAGTAAAATCAAAATAATATGTTTCTTTGTGCAATACCAAATATAGTATCTGCAAGCAAAAACAAAATTGATGAGCTTAACAGTAATAAGGGTTTTTTTTCTAACATCATTATTATTCTTTTTTCATTTTTATTCAGTGATCATTCTGTAAATAAAAGTCAGGTTACAGGATACAATCAACATCAAAGATACCTTGTTTAGGAAGGGGGTAAGAGACGTTAAACAAATCTTGGTACAATTCCATGGATTTGATGGCTACTTCCAGAGAGAACTCCGTCTGATTGTAACGGTCAGGGGTTGCAAATGTTCTTACCTAAACACCATATAAAGTTTAAATAACTTATAAAATGCTAATTTACAGTGTCCATAAAATGTGTCAGATATTTATTGAAAAATAAAAATTCATGCCTTTGTTTCCTTGTACTAAAAAAGTTCTATATAACTCTGAAATTCTATTTCCATGCTTTTTTCTTGAATTCTTATGCTCCATTTTTTAACTATTAATATTTCTTTACATTATCAAACTTTAGCACAGTTCCTTACCGATAACTTAGCCCGTCATTTTAACGAGTTATGAAAGTAAATCAATTGAAATGACATTAGATTCTGTCTCAAATTATGTCATGCATATATATATATATATATATATATATATATATATATATATATATATATATATATATATATATATATATATATATATATATATATACCCTAGTACCAATTATCATTCCATACCTTTGTGCCAAATTTCGTTGTGCGTTCGAGGTATTTGAAGTCGCAGACAATGAAACAAACAAGGTAGGTACTCATTTTTACAGATTCTTGAAAGGACGTTATTTTTAATGTTGAATCATGTGTCCAAGGCTCTGTTTTCTGAAATATTGATGAAGTAAGATATTAAAAACATTATAAAAATAGATAAAGAAAAAAAAAGATTTGTAGCTGTATTCCAAGTACTTTATATTAATATCATTTTATTTCATTTAAAATAATTAGATGTATGTCGTCTGCAATTTTTATGGGTTTTTTTTAAAAACTCAATTAAGTTTTTATCTTTAAAAAGAAGCTTACGAGTCTGGGTCGGAGTAAATTAAATCTTTTCATGACTTGGAAAAAGAGAGTTTATTTCTAGAAGGCTTGCTCGTAAATGACAGTAAAACGCATTATAGTCGATACAATACGATGCATTTTTTCATTGGCACAAACACAAAGTAATTGGTTAAGTCTAACGTCCGGGTATTAACACTCAGTCATATGCACTCTTTTGGTACATACATATCTTACAAACAAACATTTTATCTTATGTATCATTTCTAAATAAAATACACAAATTAATAATTGAATAATTATGTTCTTTTCACTATCTTTGGAGGTATACCATTTAAGAAACCTTGACTTTTGGAGTATTAGAATATCTGAAAGATTTTTCAGATATTCTAATACTTCAAAAGTCAAGGTTCAAGCTTCGTTGAAAGGTTTCACTATAATGATTGTATTTTTGATAGTTCAAAAGGAAAATGAATTCATCTTCCAAAAGCTCCTGTATATCGAATATTAAATAGACTGTATGAAGTTCCATGTTTTACTGAGAAATATCCATTCTCATTTTGAAACGTAGATGCAGCATGAAGAATTTACACAATGAACTATTTGAAGAAAACATGCAAGACATCATTGACTATATTTTAGCAGAAAACCCGTCTTTTATTACATAGATGTCATTCAAATCTGATGCAAATTTTTACAGCTTCATACTTTTCGCAATTAACAACCCATAAATATGTTCTTTCTGTTGTTATAAATCAATACCTGAGTATTATCGTTCAATAGTTTACGAAGATCATATATTTTATTTATTTCCAGGCTATACCTGGAGATATCTACCTCTTCTGGCATATTAGATAAGGCTGTATATCCATCTTGGTGCACAAGGTGAACAGTAAAGTTGGCCTTAATGTTTGGTTCGTCAAAGCAGGGAAACGCTCTCCGAGCGTCAACAGGCTCAAATTTAGACGTTGCTAGGTATCTAAAAAAGATATCAAGAAAAATTAGATTTACTAGAATGTTGCCAGTTTGGAAAGAACACACCCTTTAATGTTTCTCAGATTTTTGTGACACCCTTTATTAGATTTGAAAATTTGAAATTAAAAATTCTTTCAGAAATAAGATAACTGTTAATGCTGCAAAGATACCCCAGAGTAGTTATTATGGAATGCATATAAATCATTCAAATAAACATGTATTACACTGTGTAATGTATACTTAATTAATTGCAATAATTAACCCCGTAGAGGGTTTTTAAGCATCTTTTCGCTTAAATTATTTGGGAACTTTGACTTAATATTCTTGTTTCTTGTTGATTTTAGTTTTCCGTGTCCAGTCTAAAGGTGAAACCCTCAACTTAATGTTTGATCTTTCCTCTGGCAAATCTTTGGAGTATCCACGTACTAACGATCTCGTATGAGATACCGTTATTTACACTGTCGATACTGGTATTAAGTCCGTCATCAATATTACAGTAATCGTTTGATACTAACCTGTATTATCTATAGTTAAGTGTCGATATACAGAGCTCTGAGGATTCTTGAGTATTGTTCTAGAGATTTTATACCAATCAGCTGTAGCTAAGTTGAATATGTACAATGCATTTAACCGATATGATTTGACCTGCCTTTTTTGTTTGTTTTTTTTAGTCTGTAACAATGCAGTTTTTAGTCTTTGGAATGAGACAGAAATAAAATTCTTGGCGCTAAATCCATTATCATATGAAAGAAATTTTTCTGTGTAAAAAATAAAGACGATGGTGATATCAAAAAGGAATGCACCTTTGAGCCCTCAGTGAGTTAAAAATTATATGTTTTGTCTTTTAGAAGCATCACAAAAATCATTTTAAAATAGGTTTGAGATAAATGTTAGCTAAATAGCGATATATTTTTTGCATACTTTAGCCTACAAAAGCATTCATTGGTTGATTTCTAGTTGCATTGAATACGTTTATCTCGTTACAGATTAACTCCCACGTTAATTCATTGAGAGATTCGTGGAATTATTTTTTGCTTGCAGGCCATTACATCGATTATAAAACAACAATGCTGCTCCTGCATGTAGAGTTAACTCCGATTACTTTCCTGGTATTTTTTTTTTTTAAATCTTTGAATCGACCTAGAAATTTTAAAAGACTTGAATGGTTTATTTATTTATTTTTATAAATAACGGTAGCATTTATTTTTAACTTTGGTACTATACTAAATACATGTTTTCATCCAGAATTATTTTTATTTCAGAGGCATGGTGATTTTTATATCAGCCATGCTTGCAATTTAACGATGTAATTTATCTCAAGAAAGTTTAACTTTCAAAACTAGGTCAGATTAACTTTTTTTAAAGAAAAAAATGTGTTGATCGTTTGTAATAAAAATCTATGGCCTTCAAATTCTAAAGATTTTTTTTTTACCAAATACCGTATTTTTATTTTGCTTAGCATTTCAACAGCCACAATATAAATGACTTCTTTATGCAAACAATTCAGGATGTTTATATTTCACAACAAAATAACCCCTCTTTCGTTATGCACAACTAGATATCAGAATTGTTATTTTGGAAATATTTTAATGCTGTTGCACTTTCATCTCTTTGCATATAGAAATTTATATTTTTTTGGTAATGTACTTAATTAAGAAGAAGACTGTGGGCAATGAACGGTCGAGTCTTTTATTTTTTCCATATTTTTACATGTGTTTCATTTAACATGCTCATTGACAAATGAAACCGAAAAGTGAATGCATGCAAAGCATGCAGACAAATGAAATTTATTGTTATAAAATTATTCTTGTCTTACGTAATGAATAATAATTAATGAAACATTGAACCTAATCCCCTCTTACCTAGTTTCCTTTGTGATCGAGTTCACATATTTGCTTTTGTAAAATCCAACAATTGCCCTCGTTAAACTACCATCAAAAGAGAGATCCAAAATCACGGAACTTCCATTCAAAAGAGACTGTCGTGTTTCTATAACCCAAAACTGATTCTGTTCGTAGTAGAACGTATTCTTGATTTCAATAGTACTATCGTCACTTTTCTTTCTCAACGAAGTACTCGTAATATTCATGTAATTTTTATGAATCAAAATATATTTGGTGTCTTTGTAAATCTGAATTTCCACCGACTCATTGCCGTAGAACCAACCATGTCCATTGTATATATCAGGATAAAGAGTAATGTCATAATGAATTGGCATCACGTATCTTGGTAACCGCAAATTTTTCCAAGGTTCGGTTTCTGAAAACCCTGGTGTCGTCGTTTGGATGGGACCAGGTGTTGTCGTCTGCTTGTTTCCAGTGTTTGCATCACTTTCTCCATTTACAGAGGGTAAGTCTTTGTCACAATTTTCGTTTGTAAAATGCCACACTAGCACTCCAACTACAATTGGAAGTGCTACCACTAAGAATACTAGAAAGTAAACTAAACGCTTATTAGTTTTAGTCTGCTTTCCCGAGTCCATGTCCAACCGTTGCATAATTATAGATGTAGCTTTCCTTGCAGAAAAAAGTTCGTCACTTAAATTTTCAGTTTAATTTCTAGTTTCCATGAGAAGAAAGGTATTCCGGTCACTTGCAGCAGAGACCGAGTCGAACTATGTTTGCAGGTAGGCAGAAACTATTCAGCGTTTTCCTTGATAACGCGACGTGTATTGTTGGGGCAGTATGGTTATCCCTCTTTATTATTGCAGATAAAGTATTCAACAGGTAGAGGTTCCTGGGTAGCTCTTCCACTCTGCTTCCTGTCTTTTTACATACTGTATTATGATTGTATACAGCGATTGCTTGGATTAAACGTAATATAGAATGTTATTTTTCAACGCTCTCTTAGTGTAGAATTGCACACAAACAAAAATTAAATACGTGATGTTTTGTTGAAATGGGTTCATGAAAAAAAAAAGTTTTGCGTTGTTCAGTAGATTACCTGTAAAATATATATGCAAATTAAGGAATGGTGTTATTCGGCAGTACGTATGTGCTCTTACTTGACCTTTATCACAAGAACAGGATGTTTTTGGGGGAGTATTGTGACCAAATTTTAAGATATCTAATGAACATTTTTACCTATTTGATATTTATATTTATTCAAGCAGTTAGCAAGGGCGTGCATTACGTTAAGTAATTATGACCTACAACTCATTAAAATATGTGACCGAAATCACACTCTTTTTCTTTCACACAGTCTTTGTCAAATCGTGCATCTTTCTTAAATTACGGACTAAATTACAAATAATCAATAATGTATATCCTTGAAATGTAAAATTTTATTGTGTTGAAACTTGCTATTTTTTATTTTGCCAGGGAATTCGTGTGCCAGTTGTGGTATTATTTAAGAAGAAACCATGGATTAGTGAAATACAAAACCTGCCAGTTTCGTAAGAAACGGCAACGGGAATCACTTCTTTAAAACTTCGAGGTACATTAATAAAGAGGAATTCAGAGAGAGAGAGAGAGAGAGAGAGAGATTATCAAAAGGTCAGACGTCTATCATTTATAATTTCACTACAGATATTTATTTCGGTGTAGACACTTTTGGTTCTTTTCAATTATTCTTCTGTATAATGCGTATAATATTTACAAACTTCTTCTTTTTAAATAGATTAGTATAGATATCAATCTGTCCCTGTTGCATGTAAAATGTTTTGACTTTGTTTAACATGTGTTTCAATATTGATAAATAAAAAATAAAACAGTTGTGCATGAAGGAATTCTGTTTATTAGACAAAATATCGAGTTCTCAACATCGAGTTCTCTAACATTTCCACGTTGATTTGAAGGTAAGGCATTAATTTTATCTCGCACTGTAACAATTTTAAAATGCATTCTAGCAAACATTTATACAACAGTGCATTTTCTGAATTATTCTGTAAAGGATTCCGCGTACATTTTTTTCACTGTCTTTATTTTAGTTTTTGTAGATTCAATGTAGTCTCAACACAGTATTGAATGATAATGTGATGCCCGCATTATCACGCGCTTTTGACAACATCTGACGAAAAGTGTTTGTGCATCTAATGACATATATTTGTTATTTATGATGTCAAATTAATGAATTTTCTTAAATTAGTACTGAAGAGTTTTTATGGATGTAAATTTTGTCACATTGTATTTTCGTATAACTTGTAAACAAAAAAAAACCATCGCTGGCAATGCTATGTTTTTTAATGTAAAAAATAAAAATTGCGATGCTCCGACCACCGGTATTATCCTTTAATGCTGTTTCCACCTGCATATGACATTAAAATATTATAATATTTTGTCAAAACGAGAAAAATATCATTTCACAAAGATATGAAACGAATAATTTTGGTCGGTTAGCTTATGAAATATTTAAAAAGTTCACGGTTTTCTGGTACAACCCCTGTACTGTAATCTAGAAGAGTGTAGCTGAATGCAGATACTACCAATCTGGTGAGAATTATATCATTGTTTTGGTGTTTGAATTTCAGATTTGGATTTAAGCAAATAATATTTTATTGTCGTTATGTATCTAATACTATCAAACCTTACGTCATCATCCGGGCTATTTCGAGAAGTTCACACATCTGACAGAAAGGGAACTGCACCCGTTGTATACAAATAAATCTGCCCATTCATGGTCATAATCTCAACTTGAAGTGGTGTGTAAAGATGGCCCAGTAGAAATGAGATTGATTTATCGGTGAAGATAAAGTGACATGATGGTACAAGTGGGTAGTAAGTTATCATCTTTAAAGGAGTTCTCGAGGACAAACTCTTAAGATACGAGATGATGGCGATAAACTTTGCATATACAAGATCGATTTAACAGTGAATATATGTTAGTTTCATTGTCAAGATTCTAGCAATGCAAATTGTAAAGAAGAGAGAGAGAGAGAGAGGGGTGGGTTAAGCTGCTTAGGGCTAGGGTTAGGTTAGGGCTAGGGTTAGACTAAGGGTTAGGGAGAGAGAGAAAAAGAGAGAGAGCAGGGGAAGAAACCTCCCTGCTTAAGATGAATACACCCTTAGTCTCAAATACAAGTTCATTTTCTGAAGAAGACTGCTTTATGTTCATTTAACATTTCTATGCAAATATTTGGATCAAAACCTACTCTGGAACTGGTACAACCTACTCTGGAACTGGTCATGCAACTAACCCACAAACCGACAAAACCGACTTGTACGATTCGTGCCTTTGCATACTGTAGTGATATGGTCCGTAAGCCCTCTGATCTAAAGGAATGTTTTATCAACATTTTGAAGAACTTCTGTTTCATAGCTCAAATGAAAACATTTATAATCATGTAGCTTATGCAAAACATATAATTTTTTTTTACACTTCTTTCTCAAAAATGAATGCCTTTTTTTGAACAAATCGAGAAAAATTCACATGGGAAAGAAAAACAACTTTATTCCATAGATGGCCCTGTATACTTAAGAGAGTATATAGTTAAAATAAGATGAGGCAGCTAAATTTCTGAAAGACAACAACAGAACTAGCAAAACACACCTGAATGCTTCAACCAACAAATCGACAAGTACGGGAAAGGCATAATTATGCCTTTTAATACAAAAACACAAAGTGAAAATGCTTTTAACGTTAAGTGAAAAGGTGTTAAAACACGAAAAGAAGATGTTAATAAGGTTTCTTATACACATAGGCGATTTTAGTTCATAACATTAGGTATTATATATTATCGTATTTCTTTATGACAAACAGAACTACAGCTTTAACGTAATTTTATAGGTCATGGTCAAAGGTCGCTATATGGCCTACCATGTTACATTCTAACATCTGCTTTGCAAATTGTTATAATAAATCTAATCCTTCAAATCATTTTAGCCACCCAAAAATTGACATCAACCAAAGTTTCGTACTTTTATTGCATTAGTAAAGTTGTAAAATATAATCAAAACAATACATACGAATATTGTTAGACAAGGTAGTAGCTAAGAGATTTTAGAATGAGGCATAGCCTTCTCAATGATATCAGGTTTAAGTGAAATATCCTTACAAATTAAAAAATGAAATACATATATACTGGTAATATGGCAATTCATAGTTATATACACTGTACATGTGATGTACGTAACTAAAACATTGTGAGTAATGTTTTATTGATATAAATATGATTACCAATTATGAATTTTTCAAAAATTTACATGTAGATCTACATATTAATTCTATAAACATTAACATTCACGAATATCACTCAATTTTATATCTCAACTAAAACACAACTAACACAAATGCATGTACATAAAAGCAACAAATAAAAACGATGAAGTGAGGTTAAGGAGTTTCATCTGAAGCTTGCCTGCACCACTACCGTTCTCACTGACCATCTTCTGATATAGTAACTGTTGGTCATCTTTCAAAAACTCCATGTCACATGACTGAATCCTAGACATAAAATTAAGAGCATCATAGCTGTACCATGCGAATTTGTCCCTCGCCTTGGCTCTGGTGTATTCCTCCATATCTCCTTCCATACATGGATGTTCCCTAATTTCTTTGACAACTTCCTTGCACTCTTTCAAACACTTGGACAATGGTTGGCAATTTTCCTCCACCTTTAGAAAGTGCGGCTCTGTGAAGTTGAAGAAAGCGTCTAGGTTACAACCATACGGGTTTTTCTTACTGAGCTTTGCCATGGAAAGGTTACGCCAGTTGACGCATGCTCTGGAACGGAGGTTTTTGGCGGGGTATACTTCCAAGAAACCGAAACACATCTCTTCGTTTGTCCCACGACCCACGAACGTGGTCTTTTTCTTGTTCGTGGCCTTGAATACACATGTAGTTTTTATTTCATCACCTGGTTGAACCTTTAGGGGTTCGGGTAAGCTGAAATATTCCACCCTGGTTAGGTTCAGACCAACAACATTTATTTTTATATTGTGCTTCTTTGCATAATGAGAAGATTTGCTTGTGTACTTACGGATGAAATGTTGGTCTGTCGTAGCTGTACGTTGATTCGTTTGTGATGGAATGGATCTTTACTCCATCACGGAAAAGTTCTATGTATTGTTCACGACCTGTCGAGAAAAGGGAAATTATAACAAAATTATACCCAGATCATAATTCGAACACTTGCTTTAAACATGTTACAAAAACGTGTCCAAATAACACTTTCAAATTTACAGTTGCAACATGATATTGTATATAATTTAAAAGATAGATTTCAACTTTAAAACTCAACATACGAATGGTTTCGTATATATTTAACCATAAATTCAGTTTGAGTTTTAACTTGAAAACCATTTAATGTTCAAAATGTATTCAAATAAATCTTCATGTCGCTTCATTCATTCACAAATTTCAAGACGAAATGTTCACTTGCATAAGCGTCCCGAGTTAATTGCATGGACTATTGAAGAAAAGTTTTTAACCTATATAAAAAGAAAAAAAATCAATGCATGGATCCTGCATTATACAAAATTATATCATATCGTAGATAATAAATTAACTTCCGTAACGTTTTAGTTTCAAATTACAAGCAAGTCAAGCAGGTCATGCAATGAACTAGTGACCGCGGAACCTAATATAAGAGATTCTAGTTGCGAGTCGATAATTAAGACCATTACTCTTTCGATATTACAAAATGATCTTCACAAAAATTGCCTCTCTTTTAAAGAATTTAACTTCCGGTAAACTAGGAATTTCTTTGCATTTAAGGTAGTATGGGATACCTCCACGTTATGACGTATTTCCGTTTGAAGTATTGTTTTGATTTGCATGAGTGCTTATTATCGGGTCAAAATTTGTAGATACACCGTTGAAAAGAACACTCTGAAGCCTATTTCAATGCAAGTTCTCACAAGTCGGCATTTTAAGTAAAAACAGACAAAAAAAATCGCAAGTATATAAATTTACTTATAATTGTACAACGGACATTTAAAAAAGCAAACCCCTGTAAAAGGTAGTTGCTGCTTTTGAACACTTTTAAACAAAAGCTGTATTTCAATTGTTTGAGTAACTGTACAGCACCTTGTGTGCGGTGAGGCATGGATAAGTGCGATTACTTCACATTGTGCTGAATTATCACCAATCAATTATCACGTTAACCAGAGCTGGACTTTTTTGTTATTTAATTCAAGAAGTAACTGTTTGGTCACAAATCAGCTAGCTGTTGTATATAGTCCCAAAACGTTCAGATGAATGCAATTGCTCTGAACAAGACACGTCCTGGAAAGCGATTGTCCATGTATTGTTTTCAAAACCGCTCAAAGTTGAAAACTACAAAGTGCGATTTTTTTATGGTTGGGAAAAAATGCTCATCATTTCTAAAATAGCACCCAGGTTTTTTCAACCCTTGGAAAATAAAGAAGGATAACTCTTCCGCTCGGATCTTTTAATTCAAAAAAATTTTAAATGCATTTTATATTTTCCATTTATATATATATTTTCAATTTGTTTATTTCACTTTGCTAACATATTAAGATACATTCTTATTGTAGACTTTCATGAAATGTTATCCGTCTGTTTTCAAGAAATAAAGTTTTCCCAGTTTTTTACGCTTATTTTTTGTTGAAAATTAAAAAAATACTAAGACATATTTCTTGTCATTTTTGTTTTTATAAACACTTTATATTAGCAAACGCCTGCCTATAATATCAAGCTTATGAAAAAAGAATTATGCAAGAAAAAAAATCGTTTTTGTATTTCTCATTAAAATAATAAAAAAATTATTAAAATTACACTTTAATATACTGAAAGGTGGGGGTATTTCAAATCCTTCTAATTTGGGTACATAAATATGTAGGAGAAGTTTCGTTTGGTATCCCATACCACCTTAAGGTGTATTTTTTTAATAGGTTGGGAACAAAATACTTCAACTTTTCATTAAAATCTTTAAACAGTTATGAAAAATAGTTATAAACAGTTATTTAAAAAAGTATTAAAATAACTTTTATTGCCAAAAATTAACGATTAATTTCCGTAACGATTTTCCCCCGAAATTTTAACTTAATATAAGATTCGTGCCTGATGTCCAAAATCATGTTTTACCGTAACGATTCTATACTCAACAGCAGTAAACAAATCCTGGTCAATTTCAGATTTATTTCAATAAAAATGTATTATCTTCTGTAACATTGCCAAATTGTTGTAAAATATTTGCGGATAAGTATGATTTTCCAAGTGAATTCTATGCCCTTTAGAAATTTATGTTGTTCATTTTGGTATTTGTAGCAACTATTCTTTTTTTCATTTTATATACACTAAATTGGTTCATAGAAAATTCATAGAATGACTGTAAAGTATATTTAATTATTCAATTTTCAGAGTTCGATCAAATTTTAAACTAAGACAAGCTACTACAAAAAAAGTTGTCGTTATAAGGTTTTCAAATAATGACAAATATCTAGTTTAAAGGCCGGCCTAGGATTTCGGAAATCTTATGGTCGTTAAAGTGACCTTGTTGGCAAATACAACCTGTCGTTGTGTTGTACATGTATTGTGACTGACTTGTTTACCACTAAATTTTAGGACATTGTACTTTTTCTACAAATATGACTACATATTATTTCGTACACTGACCAATAGAAAGGGCTCACGGCAGATGTGACCAATCGACAGGGAATGATTACTACTCCTAGGCACCTGATCCATCCACTAATGTATCTAGCGGTTCGCCCCCCCCCCCCCCCCCAATTCTTTCCTGGATTTATGACATTTATTATAACAACTACTAAAAAAAAAATTACTAACTATTTACCTAGGTAATGCATATGATTTAATCCCCGTACGATGTTGATCGGCCCCGTCAACATCTCTTGTGTGTCCTCTTTGTCGCACACTGAGGATGCTGTGTAGCGTTTACTCCCTGGGGGTATCTCAAGATGAACTTGTCCCACCATTAATATGACAGCATCATTAGGGCGGAGATTGGGGGTATAGTACAAAGTCATTCCTGAGCTATCTGTGTAGTCTGCTCGTAGTTCAGGATTGTTCCAATGCATCTGTTTTCATATATAAAAAATATATATATTCTCCATGGAGAATGCTCTTACCCATTTGTAAATAACATTGCTTTGATTTAGCTATATTATTCTGCTTTTTCAAAATATCTTAAAAAAAATTGATAGTATCAAAAAAATATTTTTTTAATTTTTTTTTTCTGTTTTCATTTTTAGATAAGAGAGTCTAGCTTCTTCATTATGCGTCGAAATGTTGTACTATAAACAAGAAAGTTGAAATCCGATTTAAACTTCTCCAAACCTCAAAAAAGTTATATTCTTCGAGGGTTGGTTGATAAACGACATTTTAACATATCGGATATCTGTCTTCAGCGGGTTAGTTTATCAGAGAGTACCAACAACAGTGTCTACCTTCTCATTTGATAGGGAAAACACCAGTTATCTCTCTTTATCCTTAAAATATGGAGACAAGCTCAAAAGTCCATTCAGGAGAAGAGCAAACACGAACCTCTAAAACATCAGAGGTGGGAACAGGTACCATGGAGGAGTAATCATCCCCCGCCGACTGGTTACACCCGCCGTTTGTTCCTTCTCGTGATCGAGAAAAATCCGTCAACAATTCAGAGTTAAATAATGGCCTAACAAGTACATGTAGTATGAAAAACATCAGTCAGCAGTTGACTTAATGATAGATTGTATTTGCTGACAAGGTCATTTTATCGACCATAGGACTGGCATTGGTCATTTGCAAAATTATTTTGTTAAAAAACATTCTGATTGTACACACAAGTACTCTGAAGTTAATATTAAAAAGATGCTTGAGTTTCTGACTGACAATATCTATGTGGTTTTTGGAGACTAGGTCTTCCAACAATCTGTTGCGCCCCGTTGTTAGCAGACCTATTTTTTTGTATTCATATGAAGCAGAATTTATTCAAATCTTATACATGACAAAAGAAATCTCTTGCTGTGGCCTTCATCTCGACATTTAGATATATGGACGACGTATTATCAATTAATTACCAATAGTTATTTCAATTCATATGTCGACACTATATATCCCAGTGAGCTTGAAATAAAAGATACCACAGAGTATGACACATCTGTTTCATATTTGGATATTTTACTAGAAAAATATATTAATGGTAATCTAACAATAAAGCTTTATGATAAACGTGATGACTTTAACTCTTTAATCGATCGTCAACTTCCCTTACTTATGGGGTTTATGTCTCTCAGTTGATTCGATACGCAAGAGCATGCTCTACGTACGAACAGTTTCTAAAAGAAGCAAGTTATTGACAAACAATTTGATGAAACAAGAAAATCAACAGTCTCGTTTAAAGTCAACATTTCGTAAGTTCTATGGTCGATACAATGATGTTTTCAGCAAATACAATCTACCATTAAGTCATATGCTGACTGACGTTTTTCATACTAATTGTTAGGCCATTATTTACACACTGGATTGTCGACGGATTTTTCCGTTATTTACCGATCATGACAAGGCGCACACGGCGGGTGTGGCCGGTCGGCAGGGGATGCTCACTCCTCCATGGCACCTGATCCCACCTCTTCTGAGGTCCGTGTTTGCTCTGCTTTTGTTTTGTATTGTTTTAATGGATTTTGAGCTTGAATACTGTTTGTTATCTCCATATTTCACATAAAGGTCATTCCTTCAAGATTTTTAAATAGTGTGATTAAAAATTGTTACATATTATTAAGGATGGTGACAAAAATGATGGTGGACATCTTGAAATTTTGAAGACCAAACAAATCTCAATTTTTAAAATATTTTAGAACTGAATACATGCAAGTCCATAAAAATACAAATACATGTACACCAATCAATGCATTCAATTATTTGTTTGAAGCATGTGTTCCTGAAGCCTCAATCCTTAACCAACTAACACACAGAAATTAAAAAAAAAATACCAAAGTCGGGAGCCAATCCAAATTAATGAAAGATGGGGTATGTTGAATATCACGGGCAGTATCCTCTCATAGGGGAGACAAGGGGGGGGGGACAGCACCTCCCAGATTTTTTTCTTCTTTAAGAGAAGAAAGATGAATTTGGAGAATAACAAGGGAAATTGGCAAATTGGGAGGATCTATTAGTTCTCATACATATGTAATTATCAATATGGAATAAAATTTCATTAGAGCAAGCCGAAAGGTAAAATACCCCATTATGAAGACACCTTAATTACACAGTTTTTCTCTCACACCATACAAAAGAGTTGAGAATATGACGTCACAGATTAGGGGTTTTGACTGATGAGACTGTGACTGAAGAGATATCCAAACTCAGGCTTAAAATTCCCACCCACTTGCAATTTTCAAAGTATTTCCTATAACCACTAATCTAAAGAAATGGATCTAAGGCAAAGACTCAACTTTATACGAAGGAAGTCCTTTTGAGCGCAAGACGTCTTGATTAGACATCTTTAAAAAAATCTTTATCACTTCAATGGCTTAATGAAAAATTTGAGTTATACTTTGTTTCCAGGTCAATCGCTCGATGTGTGTCTCAATTTCTGTCATATATTTTGAGACTGGGGATGAAAGTAAGTATCAATAATTATTTAAAATTCAAAGTTCAATCTCATTTTTTCAACAACAAAAATCTTTATGTAGAAAAGAATAAGTCCCCTGATACCTAATAGGAAACTTATTAAACAAATGATTGGTAAACCACTTCACATTAACACTGGTCATCTTGGATTTAATAATAATACCCTATGGGATGTGGATGAGGAATTATTTAACATTTAAAGTTTAAATTCGTTTTTTTTTTAAAATCATTTCATTAAGTCATTGGTTTAGTGCGTAAACACATTGATAGTTCCTACATTTATCTGCATAAAGATTTAGGTATTGAACATATCTTAAGAGCGATAATGATGAATATTTAACAGCTGGAAACCATTGTCTTTAACTTTATATGATTCTCTAATTACATTATTTCCAGCAGTACTTGGAGAAGTGGTGTATATCAAATAATGATACTAAAAGAACTTCAATGAACTTTTAGAAAATTTAAAATCAGAAAATTTTGCCAAAAAATCAATAGCATTAAAACAAATGACTTTTCTACACGTTATACAGTTATTCCTTTTGATAAATTAAAGACTTAGATAACTTCAATAAAAATGTAACTCGGAAATTTTCACATCTTCTGATTAGTGATCTGCATTTCTTACTTTGCTAAAAACCATCCAAATTCCAAACACAAGTTCCCTTAAGAACTTATTAAAAAGATTGATATTAAACGATGCTTGAGTTTCTTACTGACATTATCTATGTAATATTTGGAGACCAGGTCTTCCAATAATCTTTTTGGAATCTCAATGGACGCTAATTGTGCTCCTTTATTAGCTGACCTGTTTTTATATTCTTGCATGATTTATTAAAAAACTTTTACATGAAAAAATAAGTATCTTGCTGCGGCCTTCAATTCAGCATTTATAGATAATATATCAGTGACGTTTTATCAACCTGCGGTAGGTCGAATGATAGACTTTTGACCAAAATTGCTGTTGATGTTTAATTTCTCAATAATACATTCATAAGTATCGGCAAGTTCATCGAGATAAGATATTACGACATTATAACAGCCATTTTGATAGATACAAATTTCATTAACATTTATTTTCATTATGAAATGATTACATTTTGACGAATACTAGTAAGTAAAAAGCTAATTCAGAGAATTTGTGTCCCCGCTTAAGGGAAAAAAGAAGAGCATACGCAGATCGGGGGGGGGGGGTTTAACCCCCTTACCCCCACCCCCCGCTATTTGCAGAGTTATTAAATGTATATAATGAAGCAAACAAAAAATGCCAATATGGATAGATTTGATTGCTTATTCTTTAAAATGTGTACAGAAGATTCTTTTTATATTAAATATTTATCACACTGTAATAATGATTTTATGAGAAAGTCTGTACACGCCAGACGTCATAATTTCTTCCTTTCATATGTTGAATACTATCATTTAGTAAATCAAAAAAAAAAACATTTTAAAACAAGATGTGTTTGTGAAACACTGATACCCCCGTTGGCAACTTATAGCGAAGGTTAAACTTTCTCAAATGCAAATCAAATATGCTGGTACCTAAAGTAAGGTCTTGTACCGAGGAATATACCTGTGAAATATGAAAGCCCTAACAACAACCATTGAAAAGATATCGAAAAGGTTAAAGTTTTTCAAAAGTAAGACAAACATCAAGGTCAAATGGTAAAAATTAATGGTGCCTAAGGAAAGGCCTCCTCACAAGAAATACACATGTGAAATATGAAAGTCCTAGCACCAACTGTTTAAAAGACATGGCCAAGGTTAAAGTTTTCAAAAGTAGGTCAAACTCCAAAGTCACGGTCAAAAGGGTCAAAGTTGCTGGTATTCAAAGTAAGGTCTTGTCACAAGAATTGCATATGTGAAAAATGAAAGCCCTAGAACCAACTGTTCAAAAGAAATGGCCAAGGTAAAAGTTTTCCAAAAGTAGGTCAAACTCCAATGTCAAGGTCAATGGGCTATAATTGTTGGTATCTAAAGGAAGGTCTTGTCACAAGGATTACACATATAAAAAATGTAAGTCCTAGCACTAACTGCTCAAAAGATATGGCCAATGTTTAAGTTTTTCAAAAGTAGGTCAAACTCGTAGGTCAAGGTCAAAGGGTCAAAGTTGTTGGTATCCAAAGGAAGGTCTTGTCACAAGGATTACACATGTGCCCTAGCATCAACCGTTCAAAAGTTATGGCCAAGGTTAGAGATGGGTAAAATTTTGTAAAAACTGGGTCAAACTCCAAGGTCAAAAGTCAAATATGATACTACCCAAAGAAAGGTCTTGTCACAAGGAATACACATGTGAAATATGAAAGGCATAGCTCCAACCAATCAAAAGTTATGAGCAATGTTAAAGTTTTTGCGGACAAACAGACAGACAGCTAGACAGACAGACGGACAGGACAAAAACTATATACCCCCGAATCTTCGATACGGGGGCATAAAAATACGGTATGAAAATCATAGCCCTCGACCAACGAGGCGCTTGACATTGATAGAAATTAAATGCAATCAGTAGGTCACATATACATGCATATATTCAGGTTCGATATTGTCTAAGGATGACTGCACTTAAGGACATATGAAATTTGCGGCAAAATAAACTTTCAAAACATGAATTTTTCTTTTCATTGCAAGAATGGTCAACATCCAATTTACAACTTTATGTAATTACGTTTAATAAAAGTGTGTATTTACGAAGTTCGAATCTGTTTTCAAAGGCAGGGGTCATCACAATTTCTTGAATCTCCGTTCGATAATGAGGACGCCCACTTTTTTACTGACTTTATACATAGTCAGCGCATGTTTGTCTTTTGTTCTACGTTTAACAGTAGTTGTATATTTGCATAAATAATAATGTGTCAAAAGGAGATTAATAGACAAACATGCGCTCATGGTTAAAAAGAGAAAAAAAACCTACTTCTTCTTACATTCGCTCTCTGTGTTGTAACCAAGGATTGTGACATGTTGAATATTATAATTCACCACGTGATTTCTTACCACAGGTAACTTTGTGAATACTAAATTCCGTCATGTGACGTGTAAGGTAGCATGTTTGTGCTAACTAGGACATTGTGTTCGAACACATTAAGTCATCTGGCATTGATATATAATCTGCTTTAATTACATTGACATGCTCATATTGTTAATTTTGTTTTGAAGCTTTTGTCAGAAGTGTATTTGTGCCATACAGAATGGAGAGGGAGATTGGAAAGAGTGATCACGTTCTTTTTTCCAAACATGTCATTGTTATTTATCAAGTCTAATTTTAGAGCCATTCTTACAATGTTAGCTCCACCTCTCATGCATATCTAATGTTCAATCAAGGGCAGGTAAGTTAAAGTCACTATATTTGGAAAGCAGTAAGGACAAAAAACATTGAATCATTTTATTGTATCACAGTCTACAATTATTTTAAGATTTAAATTTGGTTCCAAATTGACAGGATTCTTTCATAAACATACAAAAGTGAAATAAAGTTTAGATATAAAAACAACAGAAGCAACCGAAAAAGACCCGAAAATAGGCGTTAAGTGCAGTCATCCTTTAGCCTTTACTAAACAGTTCTAATAGATGTAGTTAGACTATAAAGTCCACCGACAACCTGTATAATATCTAATAGCTCTCCACGTATGCTCCTGTGCTAAAACTTTTATTACAAACGTGAGTAACTCTGAAAGTTTGAACGTGATCGGTGCCAACATTTCCAATTGACTTTTGAAAAAAGAAAATTGACCAAAAAAAAAAAAACGACCGGGACACTTTGAGAGGGGTGGGCGACGCCAAAGGGGGTAATGATAAAAATTGCAATTAAAAAGGTCAAAAGCCTCTTGAGATATCCCCCGGAAACGAAAGTGTTAGACACAGACAGAATGTATGAATGGTATGAATTTACGACATAACCCGTCTCCTAGTTTTTTTTTCATATCCCTGCATTTTGTGTACCCAGGCCCGTCTCCTTTGCTATACTGCTTCTGACAGCGGAATAGTGTTCATATTATACTCATTCTACTCATAATAGCATGTAACATCAGCTTATATGTCAGTAGCTTGCCTCGGTTTAAATATTGTTCGTTTCTTTATTTCATTTCATTTCTGTCAACAGACAACTTTGAATATTATTGAATAGTATTCTTTATATTACGAACATTTTATTTCATCTAAAGAGAGACAACACAGTTGTTCATCCTGTGCGTGAGGGAGACATTACGAATTGTTTCCCTGCACGTGACATGCTCTAATCAGATTGACTGTATTTTTCTGAACGATAATAATATGCATTTTTCGGTTTAAAAACACTTTTCAATTTCTTAGCTTTACTTCACCCAAGTTTGCCCCCCCCTCCTCCTCCAAGTTTGACCCCAAAACGGTTTGCACCCCATGCTTATACACTGGTAAAACTTTCTAGACGTACAATTTCTTGACTTCATTTTGTTTTAGTGAGATCTAATGCATGCTTTAAATTTTAACAAAATCATCACAACTTTGGCCAAGAAGTATAATCAATACATTTGTTTTTCAAGTAATTTTTGCCGATTTATTATTTATTTTATGGCATGATTTGAACCATTTACTTGATAGAACAAAATATAAAATTAACCTGCATCATGACTCTTTTGATTCCTTTTGCTCCTATTCGAAATCCTGCGTCCTTGTAAATGCATTGTCCAGGAGCTCCAACACCCCATGTCCCAAACAATGTGGTGCAGCTCGATGAACCCATCTGACATGGCTGTGGTTCAGTGAACATTGCTTGTTTATCTGTATATGAAGGTGGGAAAGAGAGAGTGGAAATATGTACGCATGTACGTTTTGGCATTTCTACAATTCCATACCAATACAATAGTTTAATTTTCTCTTGCAGCCAAATAATAATCGGGCGTCCAATTTTTAAAATCATTTTAGTTTTTTTTCAATCAAATATTGGTCTTGAATTGTTTTAATATTATACGATATAATTAAATTAACACATGTACATATACTTTATTACTTTAATAGTCCAGAACTTGACCAGAAGAGTAATTAAATTAAGTCTTTTTTGTTATGATACCAATTCATTATGTGCACTTTTTCTACTTCTGTTCTACTTCATATCAACTTATTAACGTGCATACATGAATCCCAAAATTATATTAACCTGCATCACAACCATAAAGCAGTATGTGGTGCATTATGTTCGCGTTGTCAATGACTGGAGTCGTTGCAATGATGTGGTAGTCGCCATCTGTCGGAAGGTCAAAGGTCATACAAAAATAGTTCGTCTCTGCATCAGGAACCGATGTTTTCGGAAGTCTGATAGTGATATTTTTCACATCTGTTTGACATCAAAAAAAGGACAAAAGATTAAAAGCACTTATCTTGTATTAATTGTGATACATCTTTTGGTGTTCTGATAAAGAAATTGTTTATAAAACCGACCTGAACTCTTTATGGCATCACACTTGAAACTCTCCAACTCACAGTTCAGCTTGGTGTTTTTGGGACGACATAACTCGCTATCGTAAGGCTCGCACACCCCTGTCATAGAAGCGATAGTAATATGACAGTTCAAGTTAAATGTTTATATAGAGTATAATAAATGTATATCATTTAGTAACTTTATTTTACCTGGATGTGAAATTCCCTGGTCTGTCTCAGGAATTGAATTTTCCTCCCAGATACAGTTGGGATCACCCAGTTCCTGCCCGTTTGTTCTCCCGTCTCCATCTGAATCTTTCATACAAAGTTCTTTATTCCATTTCTGTAATGTAAATATAAGTCACATATACTATATAGTATTTATGAATTTTAATTACAAGATGCATGTTGATGTGGCTGGTTTTTCTTGGTAAAATAAAAACATGTTCCCTTCTATAATCAATGTTTCTTGTGATAAAATCTCCAATATCTCTAACTGCTTCAGAGAACCTTGCACAGGGCTTTATCGCGACCACATCTTCTTTGGCCTTTCGCACTTTCGATATCAGATATTTACTAGATTTGATTTGCAATACATGAAAGCCTGCGAAGTTTTTTTTTAACCTGTCAAATTCAAAAACAAGCAAAAGCTTTTTCCTCGCAATCTGGTATTTTCCTAAAATACTGTTAAAATCAAACTGAAAAAAACAACAACATACAATTAGACAAAGCAAAATAACAAATAACAAAAATTTATTTTTAAACAAATCAACAAAAACAACAAAACGAAAAACAAATTAAAAAAAAAAAAGACAAAAATAAATAAATAAAGTCAGAGCCATTTCTGGGAAAAAGTTTGTATTTTAAATAAAATCTACGGCACATTTTATTCACGGTCGCAACAGTTCCCAGTGTCATTTAAAATTATATAATTGACATAAATTCGTTGCCCTTTGGAGTATGATTGATGTGAGAAAATGCTTACCATTCCAGCTGCAGTGAAATCCTTCCCGAAAGCATTTCTGGATCCACCACCAAGTTCGTTTTCATGTCCTACACCCTGCCACAAGAAATTAGGTTTACAAGGGTGGGGTACCGAATCACCATTCGGTAACCTATTCTGGAAACTTTTATATCCCAAGGAAAAGGTGCTCGAAATAACAAGAAAGAAAAATTGTCTGAAAGCAATAAAAAGCATCTTAGAATATTTTTCACAGTAAGTTAATGGGTTTTTATCGAATTAATCTTTTTTAACAAAAAACTAAATAATAAATTTTGAAAAATCAATAGGGTTAGAAAATAGGACAACTTGGTTAAAAATATCACTCACCGCAGCATCATGTTTACGGCTTCTATGCGATCGGAGTGGATATACAAACGTTTATTTTAGTGTGTATATATTATAACGTATGAGTCATTGGTTCAGAGAATAGAGGAACAAGACCTTTCATCACACTTTTGATATTTTTTAATGAATCAATTATCTACTTGCATGCATCAATTTCAAATTCAAAATAGTGATATACAAGTCCCAGTGGCACAAAAATGTGACCGTGTAGATTTGGACGGTACTTAGGAATTCGTCTGGAACTGCATCCGTTGTTTGCAGAACGAACGGGGTGAGGGAACGTTGGCGTAGGGGGGTACGAGGTATAGGTAGAGGCGCTGTGTGGCCGTAAGGTACAAACGAAGTATAGGTGTGCCGTATTCCCGAAGGTCCACCAATATGCAATTCCAGAGATAAAACAAATGATGAAGGCTTCCGTATTTATTAGATGAGTCTCAACGATGGCAACAGTTTACATGAATCAAACACACATATTATAAATGATCGAGTCGGATCTGGCCGAAGTGGCCCCGGACTCAGATTCCTGACGAGTCGGACGTGGCCGAGACTGGCCTTCGTATATTCCAGACTAAAGATTGAAATTATACATGACTATTTATAAGAATGTACATAATGAGTAAATAAATGACAGGTGTTGACATTTAGTAAAATGAGTAAAAGATTCACAGGTATGGAGTAATTAAATAAACTCAATGACGCTTTGATGTTTGGAAATGAAAAACAGATAATTACACAATGCTGTTATAAGAGATTAGCAGTTTTTGAGACATAGCACTCTGTCTCTTTGTTATAACAGATCAAAAGTCCAAAAAGTGTCAATGGTAAAATTAAACAATTGGATTCGAAAAATATCGTAAGAGAAATCAAATATAACAAAAATTAGAAATTGAAAATTAAAGTCCAAAATAAAGTTGTTTTTTTTCTGAAACAGTGAATTTTCCACTGTGATAATTTCCCACCGCTCCGGGAAAAACACGTCCTCGTGTTTGGAAGGAATTTCACATATACATTGTATTTCTCGAAGTCTGTTCTTTGATGTTCTCGTACACACCGGTAAGCACTAACTGAAACGTAGGTTTGAGTATCCAGGTGGTCAAAAGTGAGATGCCGAAAGTGTTGTCAATGAATGTTGTTCACTGTGCATGGTTGTCCATCGTTGATACGTTGAGCAGAGTGGTTCAATGGGGGAACTCGCTTGCTGTAGAGGTTCGAGATCTGACCACTGCAAAATATATGCAGAGGCCCCGGGCGTTGTTTTACCCTTAGGATTCATCCACCAATTGTGACCGTGTAGATTTGGACGGTACTTAGGAATTCGTCTGGAACTGCATCCGTTGTTTGCAGAACGAACGGGGTGAGGGAACGTTGGCGTAGGGGGGTACGAGGTATAGGTAGAGGCGCTGTGTGGCCGTAAGGTACAAACGAAGTATAGGTGTGCCGTATTCCCGAAGGTCCACCAATATGCAATTCCAGAGATAAAACAAATGATGAAGGCTTCCGTATTTATTAGATGAGTCTCAACGATGGCAACAGTTTACATGAATCAAACACACATATTATAAATGATCGAGTCGGATCTGGCCGAAGTGGCCCCGGACTCAGATTCCTGACGAGTCGGACGTGGCCGAGACTGGCCTTCGTATATTCCAGACTAAAGATTGAAATTATACATGACTATTTATAAGAATGTACATAATGAGTAAATAAATGACAGGTGTTGACATTTAGTAAAATGAGTAAAAGATTCACAGGTATGGAGTAATTAAATAAACTCAATGACGCTTTGATGTTTGGAAATGAAAAACAGATAATTACACAATGCTGTTATAAGAGATTAGCAGTTTTTGAGACATAGCACTCTGTCTCTTTGTTATAACAGATCAAAAGTCCAAAAAGTGTCAATGGTAAAATTAAACAATTGGATTCGAAAAATATCGTAAGAGAAATCAAATATAACAAAAATTAGAAATTGAAAATTAAAGTCCAAAATAAAGTTGTTTTTTTTCTGAAACAGTGAATTTTCCACTGTGATAAAAAGATGGACAATCCATGCAAATGCTGGATTTTTTTTTAAAGGGACGGATCTTACTTGACCATTTTTGTCTCAAATCCAAACATGCCAAAGAAAAAGATTACATGCATATCAGTTCTTAGAATTGACACTTTTCTTTTTTAATACAGAAAAACTTCAAAATTCAACATGTGCTTCGTAAGATAGGAAATGCTTGCCCATTTCTACCAAAATGATCTATTGTACAAAATATTATTACGTGCGTTAAGAGCATCTAGTTTTTTTTCTTAAGGTTGTATCGACAGCAGACAGCTGACAAAGCTCAAAGGTTCTGTTCTTTTATATATATGCTTCATAACAAGCAACAGAAAAAATGAGTTGCCTTCACGTAGGCCAAAACTACATTTGGGGTGATTCGGTTTGTAACATGTAAATATATATAGCAGTCGAATATGCAACAAAGATCTGAATAATTGATATTCCAACAATGTTTTTGAAATTATAAATAAGGGTGCGTTAGACCTTAATGCTATGTTTTTAAAGATGGAGCGTGGTTACGTGTTAGTAATATTTCTTGTATTAACAAGTTCATCATATTCAAATGATAGTGTGTCTTATGTTTCAATGGCCTTTACAATTTGTCAAGGTAGCCATATTTCTCTCAGTTGTCTTGAAATGGTGGTATAGTTTCATAGAAAGTAAACTACTTCCAGAAATACTTCTTAATCATTTGTATAATTCTAAACTTAATGTGGCAACAGAATATTTGCTTCAACTTTGCTTTTGTGCAAAATTCTTTGATTTTGTCTGTGTGAAATGCTGGTGAGTAAAATTGTATAGAGTGATGCAGGTTTGATTTTTTTAATTTTTTAAAAATTTTGCTGTTTCTAATGCTAGTACTTAAGGTATGCAGCATCTTTTTCTAAAAGAGGACAGTCCTGACGTGGGGTTCCATTATTTACCAACCAAAAGTAAGGAAAGCGGGGGGGGGGGGTGTCGGTCTTTAAAATGACGATTTTCACAACAGTTAAGACAACTCTTGAATAAAATAGTTCTCCGCCCCGGGAGTTTCTCTATATTAACAAAATTTGGAAGACTTGTAATGTTTCGTTCATATATATCTAAACTGAGATGATCATTGTTATTCTTAAATCTATTCTGTGCCGATAAATGTGATTCCTGTTTTAACTGGTAGTCAAGTATTCAAATGTTAGTAGATTGTTTCCAAAAATTCTGACAAGCAAAATTAAAAAAAAAAGGGGGGAAGCTAATTTACTTTACAAATCGTAGAATTTGCCAGTACTCGACCTTACAACATCAAAAAGTGTGTATGTGTGTGTGTGTGGGGGGGGGGGGGGGGCAAACAGCATCTATAGGAAAATATACTATAGCAAAATACTATACTCAGAAAAAAGTGGGGGCTTTAACGTGGAATTTTGACCCTGGTTGAAAACTGACCCGGGGGGGGGGGGGGTTCTTTTTTCAACGTTGAATATTGAGACCATCAGCGTTGATTTCAGACCCCAGCCTGTTGAAAATTGAGCCGGATCGTTGAATTTTGATCATAAAACTGGGTCAAAATTCAACAGCATCAAAACACACATAAAATAAATTGAGGTTTACAATTATTTATTCCAAAATTACACATGTATATAACACATGTATAAATTTATTTTTCACCATGTCCGTAGGAGCCAGTTGAGAGAAAAATGGAGGGGATGACTGTTTCTGTAACAGTGTGTAAATAATGGCCTAACAATTAGTATTAAAAACATCAGTCTGCATATGACTTAATGATAGATTGTATTTGCTGAAGGTCATTGTATCGACCACAGAACTTACGAAATGATGACTTTAAACGAGACTTTTGATATTCTTGTGTCATCAACTTGTTTGTCAATAACTTACCTCATTTTAGAAATTGTTCATACGTAGAGCATGCTCTTGCTGAGAACTGAGAAATATACACCCCATATTCAGGTGATAAGGGTATATTGCTGCATAAGTATAATGGAAGTTGTCGATTGAAAAATTACAGTCACCACGTTTATCATAAAGCTTTGTTGTTAGATTACCATTGATCTCTATATTAATCAGGTAAACATAGTAATTTAGTATAAAACAATTGCCTAACAATTGGTATGAAAAATGTAAGCAGTAATATAATTCAATGATACAGTATATGTATGTATATTGTATTTGCTAACTTTGCTAACTTTGACATTATAACGCCCATATAAAATTTTCGAAATGCTGAATTTAAACAAGGTTGTTGAAATCCCAGTAACATTTACTTATTAGCCAGTACCCTTCCCATCAGAGCATGCTGTTGAGTATCGAATACGTTTGGACACATAAACATCATAAGCAGGTGATGGTGGAGTAAAACTAAATAAATAAGAAAATTGACTTTTTCAACACTTTATACAACCAGTCCCTGTGATAAATTAAAAAAAAAACAGGCTATTTGACACCATAGACGCTGTTTCTTTAATAAGAATGGAGCGCGCAAATTTTCCTATCTTCTCATTGTCATCTACAAACTTACTTTGCTAAAACCATTGTGATTCTACATACAAGTAGATGTAATCTGAAGCTTATATTAAAAAGTTCCATTTTTCTTTAAGAAGCCGTTTTATGATATCAATTAAAACACCTCATCTTAAAGACATACGCAACGTAGTATGAACTTTACTGTCCTTTTCCCTGGAGGTGAAGAGTTATGATACTTAAAGGAACTGTGTGCTAAATTTTAATGTCTATATATGCTGTTATACTTCTAAAACTTCTAAAACAAGTTTGGATAAACAAAATATCTAGAAATAATATGTTTAGTAATTTTTGTGTATTTTTCTTTGAATTATACAAGAATTTTCATCTATTGATATCTTTTTAAACCCTTGGTAATGCATGCTGATTTTTTTGTCTACGAACATCTGATAGCACTATAATCTTAAATTAAGAATATCTTGAAAAATTATCAGTAGGTAAGGTACGTTGCGTATGCTCTTAATATATCGTA